TCCACACACATACATGCACATTTTATTACTCATTTTTGTTTTTGTCCAGTCAGGATTTCACTATGTAGCTCAGGCTGGCCTCAAACTCACAGAGATTCAACTGCCTCTGCCTCCCACGTGTAAAGTTTAAAGGCGTGCGCCACCACACCTGGCGTACACACATTTTAAATAAAGAAGTGTAAAAAATTTTGAAGTCCACTCTGTTTTGGTTTAAGAATAAGGTTGACACTAGCTTGAGGTTTGAGGTCAGCTAGGGACCCGGGAGGGCCAGATCTGGGGTTTTAGAGCCTTCTTAAACTGAACTGGGCTGGGCAGTGGGCAGGAGGTACAGATGGCTTGACCTCCCCTAGGAAATGTAGCGTGGCTGAGGTTGGGGGCAAAGAGCACCTTGTATCCCCATTTTTAAAAATCCATTGAGAGTCCCTAGGCCTCTGGAGTCACACTTCCGAATGCTGGAATGAAATAATAGGATCGGAGGCTGAGAGGATGAGCTTGTCGCTGGTTATCCCTGATTAGCGGGGAGGCTGGCCCCAGGTCTTCCCTGGATCAGCAGCACATGAACTTGGGTGACAACCTGGTGCCTCAACGCTCAGGGTGGAGCATGGCGGGTGCTCTGTGGGCACTTCTGACAGCTTCCCTTGCCGGCCGGCACGGTGCCACTCAGGTGGCAGGTGGTACCGTTTATTTACTATGTGACCTCAGGAAGCACCGCCCTCTCCAGAGCCTGTGTCCTCATTTCTAAAATGGAGGTGATAACGCCAACCCTCCTGGGCTGCTGTGGAGACAATGAAGAAGACTCTGACAATTCTGTCGTGGGCTCTGGACTGAGGTCTTGGGTACCCTCGCTGATGGTTGGAAACAGCAGACGCAGACATCGGACATCCTGGAAGACGCTTCTGTCATCCACAAGCACAAGCTTCGCTTCCCCAATCCCAGGCCCCAGAGGAGAGCTGGTGGGGCAGGAATGAATATTCACAGGTCTTCAAAACACAGGCTTGGTACAGCTGAACCCATAGGACCCAAACCATCATGACCTTTGCCTACCTCTTCATCCATGCCACAGGAGCTAGGAACCTCCACATAACCTGGACACAGGTGACATCAGTCACCCATTCATTCATGAACATTGTGACCCTCTTACATGTTGTATGGACACCGGGCTGGTCCCCCCCCCAAGATCAAGAGAGATGTTTCTCTAGGGTAGGACCAGAGCTGTGGGTTCCGTTTGCATTTGCCTCTTTTCAAGCTGAGTGCAAGAGCAGAAGGTTTGTCTGTTCATAATGTAGCCTTCAGAGACCCAAAGCCCATGCATGCTTACTCGAGGTCATTTCTCACACCACATAGTCTGCCTAGGCAGGTGGGTGACGTGTCCTTAGCTGGAGGACGAGGGACACATCACTGACATTGAGTCTTGAGCCTTTTCCTTTAAAGTCCTCTTCACCTGGCGCAGAGGCAGCTTCCCGTATTTAGACAACGCTCTTTTAATGACTATTAATGAACGCAGCCACATTAATGCAGGCTGCCCTTAGCCAGCACTCGCCGTGAGCCAGGCCTCTGGGAGCCTTAATTTTCTGTGAGGCTCATCAAAACCCTGCAAGGCACTTTTTCTTCAGTCTCATTTCTGGATGAAGAAACCAAGGCCATACAGAGAAAAATGATGCCAAGGTCACAAACACACAAAGTGACAGAGGCAGGGTTGGAAGCCAGCCGAGCTGCCATCAAACACCCCAGCCTCAAAGCTCCCTGCAGGCAGCAAGGATGCCCCCAGGTTGTCACAGGAGGAATCTTAATCCCCATTTCCCCAAGTGTGGAGGGTCTGTGTGGATACCTCTAGCGTGCCTAAGTCTGGCTCTGTCTGCTGCTGTTACCAACAGAGAGAATGCGTCCTTGGAGTTGATCGTCAACAACAACAACAGTAATAATAACAAACACAGTTAGTCTTAGGTCTGTGCCACGAAATGGACTAAGTTTTACACACATGCTTGCATAAATCACTTAACCTCCCCATTCCCCCTTGAGACACCATGATTGGTTTCTATTTTTCAAGTAAATAAAAGCGATTTGCCTAAGCCTCCCACCCCCAAAAAAGAGTAAAAAATAAATGAGTTGAGAGGCATGGACAGATACACTTGCCTAGGCAGATCCATCTGAAAGGTTCTGTATTCAGGTCCCCACTTTGCTTTCTCTTAATCCCTGTCTCTAAGGACAGGATGTTCAATGCAGAAAAGAGATGTTGAGGGAAGATTAGTTCCTTTATGTCACAGGAGACTGGAAGCTCTGACACAAAAACTCCAGACTGGTTTTGTTGTCCTTGGCTGCTGTTGCCTGCTGTTTGTTCACAGGGGTGCCTTGGAGGTGTCACCAGGAAACTCAAATCGCATGTGCTGGGGGTGGGGGGTGGGGGAGCCTGCAGCTCCAAGAGGCAGGAGCTTCCAGAGGGAGGTAGTAAATATTTCATGGGACCTTCCAGCTCCTTCAGACTCAAGTGACCCCGTGACATTTCAGAACATGGGACTGGAGAACAGTCTCCACTTAATGACCGGGAAGGCAGAAGAATTTAGTAAAACACTGCCAAAAGGCTCTGAGCCCAGATAGGGCCCAAGCAGGCAAACTGCGATAGTGGGGAGCAAGCGAGGGTCCTTTCCCCAGGTCACCAGCAAACTGGACGACAGGTCTGCGGCTGGGCATCTTCCAAACTGCTGGACCATAGGCTCCCAAAGAGCTCAAATGTTGGCTTTTCCACTGCTCCCTTCCTAGTGTGTACCACCAATGCCCGGGCATAGGAGGTATTCAAGAAATGCTTGGGGGCTGGGGGACTGGAGAAATGGCTCATTGGTTAAGAGCACTGACTGCTCTTCCAGAGGACCCAGGTTCAATTCCCAGCACCCACATGGCAGCTTACAACTGTCTGTAACTCTAGTTCCAGAGGATCTGATACCGTCACCCCCAATGCACATAAAATAAAGGTTAAAATTATATATATATGTATGTATATATATGGTGCTTGGTAGCAGAGTGAATCGCAATCGCCCACTAACAACATAGCATTTGGGTCACAACCCGGTCCAGACCCACAGTTCAGTCCTAACATGCTACGGTTCCGAGCCACTGCAGTGAACATCTCCCCTCGGCGTACAGCCAGGCTAACTCTCGCGGCTCTACATCCAAACCTCTACTCCTGAGCACCAGTTCCAGTTCTCTCAGTGAACCGCTAACGAGGGCTCCCTGCAGGAACAAAGCCATATGCTGCTGGCCTTGTCACACCATCACAGCAGTCCCGTGCAACCTGAATCCACGTGCAGCTGCCTTCATGACAGAGCCCCACCTGCATAAGCCACTGCAGAGTAGTATTTTGAAGAGAAACGAGCAGATCTGAAGCAAAACACACAGGCCTCCTTGTAGTGCTGATCCCGCACAGCCAGTCGGGAGGGGAGCTTCTTTGCACTAGATCCTACCGCAGACTCGCTTAGACCCCTGCACCTGAAACCACGCCAGCATTCTGACTCTGCGCCTCTGCAGAACTGACTGACGCCGCGAGTTCGATTCAATTACAGACTGGGAACCAGAGGAAATCTAGCTTTGCCCAGAAAGAAGTTCACAGGTTCCTGTGACACAATCCCACACTGTGGCCTTGAATTGTAGAGTGAAGCTGTTTGTAGGGTGAAGTTGACTGGGATCCTTGCTGGCAAAGGTGTGGGAGAAACAAAGGAAGTCGCTGGTGACCTCCCTGGCCCTAGAATGCGCACCAATTCGGGCTTGTGTTTTCTGGGTCTTTTCCCACAACTGTCTTACTGACATCCAGATGGCATCCTTGGAATACCATCTTCCTTAAAACACTCCAAAGTTCCAGATGGAACCAGATCTCTGGACAGACCCTCCATGCCTGCCCAGACAGCTCCTTCTCCTCCCCATTTCTTTTAAACCCCTAACTTTTCCCAGGCCTTTGAGGACATTCTAGGTAACGGCTAGTGTCACACACCTACAAGCCAAGTCCGAGTACTCCAGGCCCTCCCCTTTGCCTCCCTGACCCCAAGCCCTTCGCTCTCTTGGGTTGCCAGAGGCCAGAGAAGCGGGTTGGTACCGCCTTCTGCAAACACCGCTCACGACCCGGGGAAATCTCCTGGGAGGACTGCGGAGGTCGCTCCTGCAGGTGCGAGGCAGGCTCGGCTGAGCGATGCCCAGGAAGAGGCCCGGAGTGTGGACAGCGCATAGGGTGCTGAATCAGACACGGGGGTGGAGGAGCACCAGGGCCGCGGGAGGACAACATGAGTCGTGGTGCGCCCCGACCGGGCAGAGCGAGCAGAGCCAGGGACACGCCGCCGCCGTAGGGTCCCGAGCGCCGGTGCCCTGAGCGCGGGCGAGGGGCGCGGCCCTTACCTGGCCGAAGGCGGAGCTGAGCATGGGGCGCAGCCGGTGGAGGAACGGGTCCGCCTCGGGGGCACCGGTGGGAGCCGGGTCCCCGCGACCCCGCGAGCGCAGGGAGCCCCGTAGACCGAGCGCCGGCGCCAGCCCCCGTTCCTCCCCATCGCTCCCGCGGGCCGGCGGCAGCGTCTCCCGGGGCCTGCAGTGCGCCTGGGGCAGCCCACGCCGGCTCCCGCGCGCACCCTCGTCGCGCGGCACGGGCCGGCACAGGGGCCTCCGAGAGCTGGGGTCCCCGCACTGTTGCGGCGAGCTGGGGCAGGGACCGGTCAGTCGGCGGCCACGCAGAGCGGGATCCCGTGCAGAGCCGTGGCGGGGAGCCCGGCTGCCCCCGCTCGCCGCCGCCGCCTTGAGCAGCGACGTCTTGGACTCGCTCTTGGCAATGTGCGAGCTCATCGCGGCGGGGCCCGCGCTCGCATGGCCCGGCGGGGGTGGTGCGGGGCCCCCGGAGGGCAGGGAGCGGGGCGCCCGGCGAGAGCCGAGCCCGAGGACGCGCTGCAGGCGGGCGCCGTCCCCCGGCCGCTTAAATGCGGCCCCGTCGCCGCCGCCCATGTGACAGCGCAGCCTCTGCGCCCGGAGCCCCGAGCTCCCGGCGGCCGGCGCTGCGGATCTGGGGGGGCAGCCTGCTGTCCCCCGAGAGCCCACCCCCGGCTCTCCCGCGGCCCAGGTGCCGCCGCGCCCCGCCCCTCGCCCCGCCCCGCGCTCGGGGAGTCCCGCTTCCGGGCGCCTCTGGTGGCGGAGGGGGCGCTGCGGCACTGAACACGAGCGCTAGGGAAGGGGCAGGCGAACCTCCCCAAAGAGACTGGCGGAGCCCCTTATCATGCCCGCAGGATCCCACCGTGCCTGGGATCGGCCAGTCGCCCCCAAACGCAAGCAAGGGTGCACTCTTCAAAGGGAACAACTTTGGCAATAGGACCAAAGGGGTACAGGACACTAGAGTCTCCATCAGGATGCGGGCACTCTGTGACACCACCCTGACAAACACAGGAGCCAGATGACCTGGAAGGACAGTGCTAGAAGGGATGCACCATATCATCCACCTCCAAGAGCGCAGTGCGACTATAATTGCCCCCGGCAAGCCAGCCACAGAATTCACAGTTGTCACAACAGAAGAAGAGCCAGGTGGCATCTGGCTGCCGGTTACCTGTCCCGGAAGTGCCTGGTGGCGATCAAGTTCCAGGTAGGACCCATTTGCTGCGCTTGATTCTCCACCCAACCACCTCCTGCCCTTCTAGCTGCGGGGAGACTCCTGCCCTTGGTAGGCAGCCAGGAAGTCACACTGAGCTGGTTTCAATCTCAAATCCCAGCTCTGCAGCTTGCCATCTGGGTAGCTTGGGCAAGTGTCATCAGCTTCCCCCAGCCTGTTTCCCCTCTTCTGTGAAATGCAAATGGTTCTTCCAAACTACTTTCTTGGTGACATCAGAAGACCGGGTGCTTGGACAGGGCACACATGCCGTGAGCAGGTTCTCCTCCTTCTGCATCTCTGAGGCCCTTCTTCCACTGGTGTTTAGTAGGGGGAGAGCTAAGATTTGGAGGTGGGGACCTCTCCCTATTCTGGACTCTGTCCCTGTTCTACCCCTACAACCTGTTCACTGCTTAACCTCATTACAACAGATGGGCAGACTCCCGATGTTACAAAGATTTCAAGGAGGTCCCTCTTTTCTGCGTGGTGTATTCTTTTTTTTTTTTTTTTTTTTTTGGTTTTTCGAGACAGGGTCTCTAAGGCTTTGGAGGCTGTCCTGGAACTCGCTCTGTAGACCAGGCTGGCCTCGAACTCACAGAGATCCACCTGCCTCTGCCTCCCGAGTGCTGGGATTAAAGGCGTGCGCCACCACCGTCCGGCCTGCGTGGTGTATTCTTATAATGTGCATGTAAGAAAGAAAACTGAATCTGGAAGTGGCGATGTAGTCCTGTAATCGCAGCACTGAGTGGGCTGAGGCAGGAGGGTTGCTGTGAACTTGAGGCCAGCTTGGGCTGAAGAGCAGAACCAGGTCCACCTCCTACCCCTGGAGTGGGGAAGCTGGGTGTGGCGGCACACGCCTGTGATGTCTTGGGAGATGCAAACAGGAGGATTACAAGTTTTCAAAACTGAGACGAGGCTAGTCCTGGCTGCATAAAGAGTTCCAGGCCAGCCTGTGCTACATGAGACCCTGTCATGGAGGAGGAGGAGGAGGAGGAGCAGCAGCAGCAGCAGCAGCAGACATGGTGGTTCACACCTTTAATCCCAACACTGAGAAGACAGAGGCAGGCAGATCTTTGTGAGGCTATCCTGGTCTACATAGTGAGTTATAGGCCAGCCAGGGCTACATAATGAGACCCTGTCTCAAAACAAGTAGGCACGCACCTGCCAACGCGCTATGCCCCAGTTTAGACAGCCATCAGGGAGGGCATCGTTTTTCTTTTTGATCAGAAAACAAAATAAAAAAGCGAGTCCTGCACCCATGTGGGAAGAGTTTTCACAGAGGGGAGATTCAAATGTTGTGAGGAGAAGAAGAGCTTGTGTTCAAGAGGCAAGAGGGGCTGCGGTGAGCAAGGAAGTGGCATGAGGAAGGTAGGGGCCAGAGACTCAGAGACCTCCACTCACAGGACCGCCTGCCACAACACAGCCTCCTCACTGTGGACGGCGTCGCCACGGCTGGTGAGTGTGGAAATACAGCAGCAGCCTGGTGTTGCGTCAAAGCACAGGTGAGAGGCAATGATGGCTGGGACTGAGGTGACAGTTGGTGGAGGCCGTAAAGGAGAGGTGACATTCATGATCTATTTAAAGAATGGTAAGACCCAGCCAGGCCAGGTGGCACATGTCTGTAATCCCAGCACTCTGGACGCTGCTGACCCTGGAGGACCACAAGTTGAAGACCAGCCTTGGCCACATTAAGGGTTCAAGACCAGCCCAAGTTACAACAAACCCTGACTCACAGCCAAACAAACAAAATGTGACATCCGGTCTCTGTAATCTGTGCTCCAGGAACTTGCAAAAAAGAACCCCCAAACACAGCAAAACAAACGAGAGAGGAGAAAGCCAACTGTACTAGATCAAACTGGAAGTGGGCAATTAGGGAATTACAGGCTGGGTTCTATGGAAGCCCAAAGCAAGAGAAGGCTGAAGAGGAAGTGGCATTTGAGGGGTGTGTGTGTGTATGTGTGTGTGAGTGTGTGTATCTGTGTGAGAGAGAGAGAGAGAGAGAGAGAGAGAGTGTGTGTGTGTGTGTGTGTGTGTAGGGCAAGTGGATTCTAGCGACTGAATGAAGAGGGTCAGGGGAAGGTCATTCCATGCAGAGGGAGGACTGTATGCGGACGGCTGAGTGCTCTTGGGAAAGTGTCTGGCAATTGAGGAGGAGGGGAGAATAAAGGCTGTGACACAGGCCAGGAACAGTGGCTTGGAACTAGACCAGGAAAGACCTGGAGTGTGACACTGGAGAGTTTGTACTTCATCTTCCCAGCAACAGAGAATTATTGAAGAAGATGAAGTTGATGTGTGATATGATGCTGGCAGAACTGCATTTTTTTCCCCTAAGAAAACGCAGCTATTTTTGGGAAGTGACTAAAAAGACAAGAGGAATCAGATCAATTAGACTCCTTCATCTAACAGAAGTTAATGAGCAATGCTTCCTGGTCTCCATCAGGGCAGACCGGGGTGAACTCTGCCTCAGTGCCTGTGTGGAGGACAGTGCAGACAGACCGCTCACAGCGCCCTCCCCCAGTGATCTCCAGAGCTAGATACACGGGCATCCGGAAAAGACTGCTGCTCGCACTGCAAAGCTGTGGGTCCGGGAAAGAAGAAACCCTGGAGGAGTGTCCAAAGGTGCAGAGTGTGGCTAGGGAAAGACTCCCCTGTGGTTTGGGGACCCAGGAAGACAGTCGCCTCGGTTTCAGATATGACCCAAGTGTTGGTGTCTGCGACCTGGACTTCCACGTGGTTTCATCACTGAAGGCAAGAAGCGGAGACAAGCTACGCTGAGGCCAAGCAGGATCAGCAGAGAGAAAGCAGCGCAATGGTTCCGGTATGACAGGTCATTCTTCCAGGAGCGAGAAATTATATTCCGGAAGGCCAAGAAAGGGCTGGAGAAGTAACTCAGCCATTAAAGGCCGGTTCACACTTCTAAATGTCAAGAGTTTGGTTCCCAAAAGGCCAACAAAATGTTTTCATCGAGATGTACAGAACCCAGTAACAACAGAGCATTAACGCATGCCCACTGCTAGGAATAAAATAGCAGGTGAATATCACAAGTTTCTTCATAGACTTTGTGCTATTCCTTACATTAAAAATGTTTTGTTTACCATAGGTGTGCCTGAGTGTCGTGCAGGAGACTGTGGAGCTCGGGAGGGGCATCAGGTCCCCTAGAGCTGGAGTTATAGATGACTGTGAGCCACCATGTGGGGGCTGAGAACTGAACCTGGGTCCTCTGCAAGAGAAGCCGGTGCTCTTAACTGCTGAGTCAGCTGTCTGGCCCCACATTTTACTTGTTTATATAAAGGGGAGTCCAAGAATGCCAGGGTGCACACTTGGCGGTCAAAGGTCAAACTGAAGGCGTTCACTGTTTTGTTTTGAGGCAGTGTCTCATAGAGTAAGCCAAGTTGACCCAAAATTCCCTGAACTGTGACCCAAGCTGCTCTCAAAACTTGTAGCAATCCTCCTGCCTCAGCCTCCTGAGAGCTGGGATTACAGTCAGGAACCACACCTCGATTAGCTTCTTCGTGGATTTTTAAAAGTCTGACAGGGAGGTAATGTGAACTGAACGAAGAATTCAGTTGAGATTTAGGGAAATCGGAAACATATCGTTAAGACATGGGAAAGTGTAGATGTGGGAAACAAAAATGGCCTGCCTCACCAGTGGTGAGATGTAAGGGAAGTGTAGCTACTGGGAAGCACCCTGCCTTGTGGAAACCATTTTAAAATAACCCCTTGGGTTTTACACACCTCTGTAGGTTCCAAAGGCGTTTCACATGAAGCCCTGCGTGCCCCCTTGGGTGTTGCCTATATCGTAATTGTTAAGCAATTACAAGTTGCTCCTCCGCTTGACGGTGTAACGGGTCAGGTGAGAAGTGTACAAAAGAAAAGCTGTTCTTGGGGTTCCGGAAGGACAGCTCACCATGCAAAGGTGGCGAGACAGGAAAGAGGGGGCTGGACCATGGCTGTCAGCCCGGAAGAGGTGCGTTTGGCTGTCTTACGACTCAAGAGAACCCACAAATTTGGCAGGGTGAACGGCCACACTCCTGATGAGTTCATGGGCTCATCTCTCAGGGACCCGCGCTGGTGGATGGTGCCCCGCGGCTCGCAGATGCTCGTGGCTGCCCAGCTTTCACTCCGGTGCCTGGGTCAGTTCTCTGGGATGGCCCTCGCCTGCACGTGCTTCTTTCTGTTGTCAGAGTGAACGTCTGCTTTAATCTCCCCTTGTTTTCAGATCACACAAATCTCTCTGTTGGGTTTCAGAAATCTGGGATTACAAACTGCTCTCTGGGCTCTGCGTTGATTGGTGAGCAGTGGAGAATTGTCTCTTGGGAGGCAGAGGGGACAGTCGGTGTGCTAAATAGAGGATTCCTCCTGAAAATCTGCCTTTGGTCGTGAATGTTCATCACCTAAGAGGATTTCAAGATTTTTCAAGTAAAATGAAAAAGAGTGTGGGCTATAAGAATGCGTATTTGGGTCAAAAACCAAATGCACACTTAAGGCCAAGCACCTCACTGTACATAAATAATTCAATAAAATCACCAAACAAGCAGGAGAGATTGCGCAAAAATAATACCGACAAGAACAAATTATTGGGACAGCCTAAGGGGATGAACTATGGTTTTCAAAATGGGGGCATTATAGAATCCATGTGTCACACAGATAAAGGACAGAAAGCCTGTTTTTGGTTTATGTTTAGGCAAAAAGTCTTATCAAATGAGGAAAATTCTGTCCCATACAGATTCCTTACTTACTTACTTACTTACTTTATTTATTTATTATAGGGAGCACTATATTTATTTGTTTATTTATTGTAGGAAGCACAGAGGTCTTTGAGCCCCTGGACATGCACTAGGGAAACCTGAGTGTTGAGCACACAGTGTTGTTTGTTCCTTCGAGGGAAGGAAGGAAGGCAAAACCAGTTTTCTTCCCAGAAAGGCTAAAGCAGACATGCTTTCCAGCCTGGTGACCTTTGTGCCGTCTGTGTGGCCAGGGTCTTTCACGTAGAGGTCAGAGGTCGAGTTGTTGGAGCCGATCCTGTCTTTCTACCGAGGAGGTTCCAGCGATGCAACTCAGACCATGAGAGCTGGCATCAAGCGATGGGCCATCGTGCTGGCCCTGATTGCCGGTTTTATAAAAACGCCCCCCTGAGTTGTGCGTGGCTCAGTGGTAGACAGACTGCCTAGCACGAACGAGCTCCTGGTCCAACCCCAGTACTGTGCAGTTGATCTCCAACCTGAGGAAAGATCACCACCACCATTTCCCTATTTTGACTATTCCCCGTCCCCTTCGCCAAGGAGCGCTATTCTCAGCTTGTCTGGAAACGTGACTGGTTCAGGAAATGATGATTCGATTCCCCAACGCCTCCCCCACCCCCAGCCCTTTTGAGACATTATATTTCCCAGGCTGGCCTGGAACTTGCTGTGTACAGGCCAGGCTAACCTCAAACTTACCTGATTGTATTTTTTTAAATAAAATTTACTTTTATTTTGTGTTCTTTGGTGTTTTGCCTGCATGCATGTCTGTGTGAAGGAGTCGGATCCCCTGGAACTGGAGCTACAGACAGTTGTGGGCTGCAGTGTGGGTGCTGGGAATTGAACCCGGGTCCTCTGGAAGAGCAATCACTGAGCCGTCTTTCCAGCCCTAATATTTATTTTTTAATTTATTACATTTATTTACCTAGTGCATATGTGTGTACATGAGCAGGAGCCATGGCAATGTGTGTAAAGGTCAGAGGTCAGCTTCCGAGGGTCAGTCTTGGGAATCAGACTCGGGTTGTTTAGCTTGGCGGCCGACGAGTTGTTTACTCACCCTCTCAGTTAGTTAGTTTACTCACCCTCTCAGCTATCTCATCGGCTCTCGCTTAGTTTGAGAGTAACAAATGAAAAGAATCAAAGTCGATGTGGGAACGGTAGCGCACGCACGCTGTGATGCCAGCATCTGAGAGGTGGAGACAGGAGGATCACAAGTCCAAGGTCATCCTTGGCTGTGTTACAAGTTCAAAGCCAGCCTGAGCTACAAGAGAGACCCCCGTCTCAAAAGAGAAGAAAAAAATTACAGGAAATTGTAATTAGACCTAGGGGTTGAGAGGTAGCTCAGTAGGTAGAGTGATTGCCTGGCATGCAAGCCCTTGGCTTCAGCCCCAGAATAGATAAATCTGGGTGTGGTGGCATATGCGTGATCCGTTAGAGGCAGCATGATCCGGGGTTCAGGGCCATCCTGGACTATACAACAAGTTCCAGGCCAGCCTGGGATACCTGAAAGCCTGTCTCTAAAGGAAAAGAAAAGAAAAATAGACTCCTGTGCTTGGATTCAGTACAGGATCAAATCCAAAAGACCATCCTCCGTATCTGTTTTCCTTCCCCGGTCATTTCCTCTGTATACACACCAGGACCCTGAGTGACCTGCAAGTGTAGAACACAGAAGACCTTCAAGGACGGGCCATGTTTTTGTCACAGGCAGGAGGGTTCTATGTTTTAATTGCCTGGAGGTTCCATCCAAAATCAGAGTCAGCCAACAGTGCGGTCTGCGAACGGGCGGTTACATCTGTGGCGTTTGGAGCGGCGCCTGGCTCTGCACCAAGCCGCCCGACCCACTGGTTCTGCATGGTTGGAAACCAAGTGGGGTCGGTGACAAAGAAGCCCACAGAGCTGCACCGAAAAGCAGATCGGCTTACAAATTCATAGAACCGGAGCCCCTCAAAGGACTGAAGTGTCACTCAAAGGTGTGTCTACCTCTGGGCCGGGAAGCATTCCGTATTCAAACTTGCGCAAAGCGGGCGCCCTTGCTTCTCAGAGCTGGCATGGACCGCAGTGCCTTCTCAAGAACTGCTAAACACCAGGGTCGTCTTAGGGCCTAGCTGGGAGCCTCTTACCTTACAGAGTCCTGAGATAATCTTTCCTAAGCAAAGGTGACATCACTGGTGTAAGGTTGGATCCCAAGTAACCGCCCTATTTGGGAACAAGCATTTCTACAAGAACGTGACCTGCTTCGGAAGGCGCTTATGTGATGTCCCTGGGCATGTCTCTCTGCCCTCTGAGCTCAGGTGGCCCCTTTCCTACCCTCCTTTTAATTTAACAACCCAGACTACGCAGGGACCAGGCCGAATGAAGAAGTCTCTGGCTAAAATAGAGGAGGGCTTTGGTTGGGGGGTGGGGGGTGGGTAGGAATCCAGCATATTATTCCCTGCCCTTTCAACGTCACTATCCATTCTCTAGATTTTTATGGGCTTTCAGCATTTTTAATTAATCCTGAAATGGTTGCCGAAGGCAAGAAGCCAGCAGTGCCTAAGGAACGAGAAAGTGCAAGCTGATCCAAAGAAACAATCGCCCGGCGAGGGACCCCACGGCAGAGAGGCAGACACTGAGCCACTCTCAAGAGGCGGGCGAGGCGTGTGTGCGGGTCTCTGCACTGGCACCATCTGCCGATTCCTCAGGAGGACAGAACAAACCAGCGAGCCATGAAGATTCGATTATGTAACGCTGGAGGATTGCTTGTTCTCAAAAAAAGGAAACAAATGGAACGAATTGATTTGTTTGTCAAAGTCATCGTGTCACACTAAAGGAAACCAGTCCCCTCCTCGTCCTAGAGGACCTCACGGAAGAGACCAGGACAGGGACAGTCGGCTCAGAGGGCAAAGGTGCCTTGTGCTGGAGCCTGGTGACCTGAGTTGGACCTCTGAGACCCACATGGTGGGAGGAAAAAGAACAGACTTCAGCAAATTGTCCTCTAAGCTTCACACGTGAATACAGTGGCAAATGTGTACACGTCCCCTACCAAATAAATAGATGCATGAGAAAAAAATTATAAGACCATAATTCATTCCATTCATCAAAGCAAGGCCATTTCCAGGGCTGCGCTGGCAAACCCTTTCCTGGGGTTTCTCTGCTTGAAAAATGACTATTCCCCTGCTACCTAAAGGGCACAGCCATCTCAAGGACCATAATTGTCATTGGCCCTGGCAGGCTTCAGAACCTGCCTGCTTTGCCTGGCCTCTCTTGCTTTCAGGGAAGTAACCTCTAATCTTGGGACCAATGGGGCCATATTACTATTCAGAACTCTAAACAAGTGTTTTCAGAGAGTAGGGAAACGTTCCTTTTTAAAAGATTTATTATTATTGCTGGGCGGTGGTGGCGCATGCCTTTAATCCCAGCACTTGGGAGGCAGAGGCAGGCGGATCTCTATGAGTTCGAGGCCGGGCTGGACCGACAGCCTCCAAAACAATACAGAGAAACCCTGTCTCGTAAACCAAAAAAAAAAAAAAAAAAAGATTTATTTTATCTTTAATTGCGTGCGTGCCTCTGTGTGTGTGTGTGTGTGTGTGTGTGTGTAGGTCAAAGGACAACTTGCTGAAGTCAGTTCTGTCCGGTCCCGTGCCCCCCCCGTGTATCAGGGTACCAGCAATCCGACTCTGGTCATCAAGCTTGGCAGCAACCACTTTACCCGTGGGGCCCATCGTAGCGCCCCCCCATCAACTGTATTCAACATGGAAGTTAAACCTACAGTGTCAGATCTTTTCCACGCACCCCTCCAGGCCTCCAGCTCCACTTTCCTGCTCTTCTCCACACAGCTTCCTGCCCTGGGAGCAGCAGAAGGAGACGTCTCCCCCAGCAGAAAGAGTGTGAAGGAGGAGACTCATTCTCCCGGCTCCCTCCCTGCCATAGTGCCTCGAGTGGGTGGTGTCTTTGCATAGAAGGCTATGCCTCTTCAAAGGAACCTGGTCCCCAGAACCCTCTCTCTCTGGACTCTGTAACTTCTCCCTAGACTTCACATCTAAGAGTGGGGAGGCCATGTCTAGCTCCGGGCACTGTCCCCATCCTTTTACCCTGCCCAAACCTTGTAAATAGTCTCTTTATTAAATCCTCCTCTAATTATCTAATTCGAGCATGCCATCTGTCTCTTGCGTAGACCCTGTCTACACCTACCACACCACATTAGCCTGTCCTAGGCCCTATGCCATGTTAAACTAAAACAAAAACAAAAAGCAAAAGAAACAACATTAATAATACAGCATGCTATGGCTTTGTGTAATCTATGCATTCACCTTTTCTCCAAAGCTACAATAACAACGTAAAGAGAAAGTCTAATTCCTCTTTACAACATAATTGTGCAGTGGAGTTTGTATGAGCTAAATATAATTCAGAGAACAAGCTTTTTCGTGCCATCAAAATTCATGTTAACAACTATAAAGAGAAAACTCCAGAACTGATGCCCCTGAGTCAAGATTTAGCGGAAAATATATTCCAGTGCTTAAATCAATCCGCCAGTATTCGAGAGTCTATGTGGCCAGTAAGTTGGGATGTGTGTAAGTGTGAGCAACAATGGATGTGAGCTGGGTGGGCTTGGGTCTTCTCTTTATTAATAAATGTACTTTCAAAGAGGTGAATTTGGGCTGGTGAGGTGGTTCAGTGGGTGGAGCCCGTGTGGGTGTGGGAGGGGGGAGAACCAACTCCCTCATGTTGTTCTTTGGCCTTCACAGCCGTGCACAACACCCCAGCCACACACACAAAGAAATGTAAAAAACACGCAGACAAACAAAGCCTCCAAAAGGCAGCAGGATAGGGCACCAACAGCTGTACCCCACAACTCAGGAGACTGAATCAGAAAGAGTGAAGATTAGAAGCCTGAGTGGACCACATATTGAGATCCTGTCTCTCAAAAAAAGTACATAAAAACCAACCAACAAGCAAAATGTTGGGGCTAGAGGGACGGCTCAGGAGTTAGGAAGCTTTCAGAAGGTCCAAGCTCAGTTCCCAGCACCTATGATGGATGGTTCACAACGACCACAACTCCAGCCCTGGCCTCCTCTGACACCTGTACTCACGTGCACGTACCCCACCAACACACACGTAATTTTAAAATAATATATTGAAAAGTTAGATGCAAATTTCATTTCCGTAAATCAAACTGTATGTTTCATGATCATGAGGAGGATTGCTATTTGCATAATAAGTTAGTAAAATAACCACCTTTTGATGTTTTGAACCAATCAGATTGCAAGGCACATCAGCTCAGTGTCCTTCCAGCGGAATGTCTTCAGTCTGCAGGGAAGCTTGCTTGCCTTCCATGCTCCTGAAATAGCAGAAATTATGGAATGGAATTTAGAGGAAAGATAAGGGAATTGCCATTTATAGACCACACAGAAAACTCAGGCAATTTGCATCTGTTAGGCTCATTTAACCCTGAAAATAAACACGTATCCCATCGCTTTCTTATTTTCTACATCTGAAGCACACACACACACACACACAGAGAGAGAGAGAGAGAGAGAGAGAGAGAGAGAGAGATCAGCATGGCAAGTATAGAAATCACAATCCACTTTTTTCAAAGCATAAAGCACAGTGGAGACATGATTCAGAGATCAGGGCAGGGTTTGAAAGCTCACATCCACAGCTTCAGTGGCTCCCACGGCTCTTGGGATCTAGTCCAGATTTCTTCACACAGCCTGGCTCCTCAAGCGTTCTTACTCTCAACCCTCCTTGCTGCTTCTGCCTCGGAGGCCTGAGCGTTCCCTGGCCCTGCTACGCACTCCTCTACATTAAAACGCAGATCCATGGGCGCCATCTCACGCAGTTTCCACTTCCCAGGGGATGTCTGTTCCCCCAGCTGGGCCCATAGCGCTGTCTCCTCACTGCCAAACACCAGAAGGGCTTGCTGCTCTGCCTCACGGTGGCCACTTGCCACCGTTTCCCTCCTTGGTTGGGTTTCCTCTGGCCCTGGAAGGGCAGCCTGCAATGCCGCTCTCAAATACAGGGGCAGTCTAACCCTGGTATGATGCTATACACACACAATCCCAGCATTCGGGAGGAGAAGGCAGGGGCATCAGAAGTTCAAGGTCGCCCTTGGCTGCAAAACGAGCTAAAAGCCAGCCTGAGCTACCCGAGACCCTGTCTCCAAAAAAGTTAATAGATAAAATAAAATAAAACATGGAAGATCTATAAGCTTCTTCCCTTCACACACACACACACACACACACACACACACACACACACACACTTACACACTCACACTGTGGCTCCAGGATGGGGACTTCCTACTGAGGTCCCCAGGGCAGTGGGAACTGACTCTCTCAGGCCTTGCCCCTGGTCACAGGACTATGACTCTGGTGGCGTTGCATATGCAGGGCACATAGGCAGTGAGATTGCTTCACCTGCTCCAGGATGAGGCAGCTGCACAGTGGACCTGGGCCAGCTCAGGAACAGGAAGTAGTTGAGGCCTCAGTGAGAATGAGGGTGCAGTTTTGAACATTGTCCACTGGATGGCATAGTCCTGCACTATCCCAATCCTAAGGAAAACCATACTAACAATTTTGAGTAGCAGGGGTTAGTGAGCCCATTTTACAGAGGGGAAAACTGAGGCACCTGTGGGGGTTTTTTTGTTGTTGTTGTTCTTTTTGTTTTTAGGATTTATCTGAAGGTTCAGGTCATAGTGTTGGGATATAAACTCACATTCTCTGCTTTTCAAATGTCTTTATAACTTCAAAAGTTATGTTCTGAGCCAGGTGGTGGCAGGGCACACCTTTAAACCCAGCACTTGGGAAGCAGAGGCAGGCAGATCTCTGTGAGTTCAGGGCCAGCCTGGTCTACAAAGTGAGTTCCAGGACAGCCTCAGCAACAACAACAAAAAGTAACATTCTGGTTTAGGGTGATGGTTCTGCTGGTAAAAGTGTTTGCCACAAAAGTCTGAGGACCTGAGTTGAATCCCTGAATTCCTGTAAAAGCAAAACAAACCCGTGGGGGTGGGGGACAAAACCAACAAAAACCCTGGACCCTGTGCACCCTCGTCATCCTAGGACCGGGAGGTGAAGTCAGGAGCTCTGCCTGTCAGGCGAGCCAAATCAGTGAGCTCCAGGTCACTCAGTGAGTGTGCCTCAGGAAGCAAGGTGGATGTCACCTGAGGAGTGACACCCAGGGAACAGGACCTCTCTCTTCAACAAGCACATGCACAGCTGTACACACCCAAACATGCACACCTGTACACGCTTACAAACAGGCATACCTGCCTTTTTAAAAAGATTTATTTATTATTATTATGTATACAGTGTTCTGCCTGCCAGATCTCATTACTGCTGGGTGTGAGTCGCCATGTGTGGTTGCTGGGAATTGAACTCAGGACCTCTGGAAGAGCAGTCAGTGCTCTTAACCTCTGAGCCATCTCTCCAGTCCATCATCTGCATTTCTAACACTGTCCTTCCAGTCTTCACAGAGCTGCCCACCATGCAATGAACATGCAATGAACACCCAATGGCTTTTCTCACCCAAATTTCCAAAGTCGTCCCACAGTCCTCCCAAAGACACATGGTCAGGTCTGCCACAGCAATGCCCCACTGTCCTGGTGGGGTATATGTATATGTATACGTACATGTATCCTAGTAAGGTTATCATTGCTGTCATGAAACACCACAATAAAAGCAACGTGGGGAGGGAAGGGTTTATTTGCTCACACTTCCACATCACTGTCATCACTGAAGGAAGTCAGGACAGGAACCCAAGCAGGGCAGGAACCTGGAGGCAGGAGCTGACGCAGAGGCCATGGAGGGTGCTGCTCACTGGTTTGTTCCCCATGGCTGGCTCAGCCTGCTTTTTTGTTGTTGTTTTCGACACAGGTTTCTCTGTGTACCTCTCACTATCCTGGAACTCACTCTGTAGACCAGGCCGGCCTCAAACTCAGAGATCCTCCTGCCTCTGCCTCCCGAGTGCTGGGATTAAAGGCGTGTGCTACCACCTGCCAGTCTGCTTTCTTACAGAACTCAGGGCCACCAGCCCAGGGGCAGCAATGGACTGGGCCCTCCCCATCAATCAGTAATTGAGAAAATGCCTCACGGGCTGGCCTGCAGCCTGGTCTTAGGAGGCGTTTTCTCAGTTGAGGCTCCATATTTATGCATGTTTGTGTCTATGTGGACATTGGCAAGAGGCTGCCTAGAGCCCATTGGCCACACGGCCTAGTCAAACAGTGAGCTCCACGTTCAGGGAGGAACCTTGTCTCAAAAAATAAGGAAATAGCCGGGCAGTGGTGGCGCACGCCTTAAATCCCAACACTCAGGAGGCAGAGGCAGGCGGATCTCCGTGAGTTCAAGGCCAGCTTGGTCTACAGAGCGAGTTCCAGGATAACCTTCAAAGCCGCAGAGAAACCTGTCTTGAAAACAAAAATAAACAAAAAAATAAAAAATAATGTGTGGAACGTTATGAGCACATGCATCAATGTGTGTACATGCACACAGACACAGATACACCCACACATGCACACATGCACACACACACATATACACCCACCCATACACACACCCACACATGCACACAGACACATGCACAAACACACATGCACACACCCACACATGCACACAGACACATACACAAACACACATGCACACACACACACACACACAGATACACCCACACATGCACACAGACACAGATACACACAAGCACAAACATGTACACATACCACATATGCATACATAGATATAAAAATTTTTAAAGAAGATAAATTAGGGGCTGGAGAGATGGCTCAGTGGTTAAGAGCACTGGCTGCTCTTCCAGAGACCCTATTCCATCCCCAGCACCTACATGGCAGCTCACAACCATCTGTTACTTCAGTTTTGAGAATCTGATGCCCTCTCCTGGCCACTGGGGGAACTGCATGCAGGTGAACTCCGCCCCGCCCCCCTTCACCCCCCACAAAGGATGTAGGATGCCAAAGGTGAATGGAGAGGCTGAGGGAATGAGGCGTGCATTGCATGGTGGGATGTGGTGTAGAAGGATCATGGAAGGCCTACTGACTGAGTGAAAACCTGAAGGAGGATTGGAAGGGAAACATCCCAGTCTCTGAAGGGAGACTGCTTGAATGAGGAAATAGAGCAAAGTGATGTGTCCCCGGAGGTAAAGAGAGGCTGCTGGAGCAGAGGGGAAGGAGGAGGGCAGAGGTCAGGGGACAGAGGGAGGGCAAGCAGGCACCCTGGAGGCACCATGAAGACTCTGGCTCCGTGGCTGCACATGGTGGTGGCGCACGCCTTTAACCCCAGTACTAGGAGGCAGAGGTAGGTGTGTCTCTGTGAGTTCCAGGTCAACCTGGTCTACAGAGCGAGCGAGTGCCAGGAAAGCCAGAGCAGTCTCGAAAAACGAAAAAACAAACAAACAAAGAATTTGAAAATTTGGGCCTGAAATCCAGGCAGGATCAACTTTACACCCTGAGCCGGAGTATTACACAACCCTGTGCCCCAGCTCTAAGGAGACAGGCTTCCTGGTGCTCAGGAAGGCAGGCCCCAGGAGAAGGAAGAGGTGGGGGTGGTCATGGTTAGTAGCAGAGTCCCTGCCTTGGTTAAGTGGTAAGGAGCGGGTGTCCGAGAGTAGGAGCAGGCTGCAGCTGGGGGTGGGGGCTGAGGTTCTGCAGCACTGACTCAGAGCATCTCAGTTCCTTCCCTGCTACAGGGGAGGCTATTTATAACCTGCAGGTTCCCAAAGCCTCTGAGCTGAGCGCAGAGCCCTGCAGCTACCTGGGGCCATTCTCCAGGGTTGCGGGGAGGTGTGGGCAAGGTCGAGGTTGAGAATCCTTCCTGTCAGCCCAGAAAACACACTCAAATGCCCAGGGTCACTCTAGGGGTGTCCAGCCTACCTGGACAGGTGTCTTCCAAATGGCATGGATGGATGGTGGATAGGTGGGTGGATTGGTGGGTAGATGGATAGATGGGTGGGTGGATAAATGGGTGGATGGATGGATGGGTGGGTGGGTAGGTGGATGGGTGGGCGGATGGAAATATCATCTGCCTTTTTTTACTTTGTTATATCATTTCTCTAGCTTACTTTTCTCTGTTTTAGGCAAGGTTTCACTGTGTAGACCAGGCTGGCCTCAAACTCACGGAGATCTGTCTGCCTCTGCCTCCCAAGTGCGTGTACTACCACTGTCTGACCTTTTTTTTTTTTAAATCATCAGAGAGAGAGAGAGAGAGAGAGAGAGAGAGAGAGAGAGAGAGAGAGAGAGAGAGAGAGAGAGAGAGAGAGAGAGCATTCTCACATCAGAAGACAATTTTCAGGAGCCGGTTCTCTCCTTCCACCATGAACACAGATCCTCAGGCTTGGTAGTAAACACCTTAGATCACGGAACCACCCTAGAAAGCTTAGCATTGACAACCCTCCACTCATGGGACCCCATCCATCAAGTGGAGATGATGACGATGACCCTACCCGCTCTGGGGAATTGTACCAAGAGTCAATGCGCAGCCCCGGCTGTGGCAGGCAGTAGCCGCTCAACTAGTGGAGTAAGAGCCCTTGTGCTCAACTGTATTATGACCCAGAACAGAAGTGACAGACAGAAAGACAGCAGCTTCTGCCGATCCTCTCACACCTGCTGTGACTCTGAAGCAGGGAATCCTGACCTCTAATGTCTTAGTCTTCTCCACTGAGTTTCACAGTTCGTCATATACAGGAACCTGGGAACTGAGGCTGGGAGGGAATCACGTGGTTTGTCCCAGGCCACATTGTACCCCATACGGTGGAATCTGTAGTTAGCAGAAAGACACAGCCATATTGCCAGAGGCCAAAGGACACAGGCAGACGCCGTGTCTGGAAGCAAAAGACCACAGCGCTCAAGTTTACCACTTCCCCTGGTTGTTGCATCTAGCCTGGGAGGTGAGAGGTTCCCTGATACCCTACTTTGCCCTGCAGCTTCCCCAAAGGATGGGGTTTCGTTGATGCTTTTGGTTTAGACAGGGTCTCGTGTAGCCTAGACTGGCCTTGAACTCACTATGCACATGAAGATGGCCTAGAACCTCTGATCCTCTTGCCTCCACCTCCAGAGAACTGGGTGAAGAGTGTGTGCACTTTTGTCTGACTTATGTGGTAATGGGGATGGAAGCAGGGGCTTCACCTGTGCTAGACAAGCAACACTCTACCAACCGAGCTATACCCCAGCCTTCCCATGAAGATGACTACTCCAGGCACATTGGCTCACACGTATAATCCCAGCGTTTAAAAGACAGAAATTGGAAGATCTGTGAGTTTGAGGCCCATGAGACCTTGTCTCAAATTTTTAAAAAGTTTATCATTTCTTTATATTTTTAGATTTAGTTACCTGTGTTTGTGTCTGTGCATGTGAATGCAGGTGCCCTCAGACACCAGGAGAGGGCGACAGAGCCCCCCCCAGCTAGAATTACAGACACTTGTACCCAGCCTGAGCTGGGTGCAGGGAACCAAACTCAGGCTGGAGTAGTGTAAGCTCTAGAGTGCTGAGTCATCTCTCCAGCCTCTGTATCTGTATCTGTATTGCTGTCTTTTCCTTTGTAAGTTATGTTTCCTGTTTATTGAAGAGTGATGCATGTGTGCCCCCCGTGTGTATGTGGAGGAGTTTGTTCTCTCCTTCCACGCTGTGGGTCCCAGGGATCTAATGCGGGTCATCCGTTTTGGTAGCAAGTAGCTTTACGCGCTGAGCCTCACTCTCACCATGTATGGCTGGCTAGTTTGTGTTTCCTTTTTTATTTTATTTTATTTTTTTGAGACAGGATTTCTCTATGCAGCCCTGGTTATCTTGGGACTGGCTCTGTAGACCACGCTGGCCTCAAACTCAGAGATCTACCTGCCTTTCCTCCTGAGTGCTGGGATTAAAGGCATGTGCCACCAGGCCTCGCCCATATGCGTTATTTAAGGAGAAACGTTTTGACAAGAATTTGGCTTCACTGATCCCAACACCCTTTGCTATTCCAGGGTTCTGTCTGGTCATTGCCCTTTCTCTTCTCCACACTCCTAACTGAGCCCCTTAAATTACCTCCGCCATGCTGGGGGCCTGACAGAGCAGAAAGGTATGCATTTGAGGTGTCAGGCGAATCTGTGTTCTCACCTGGTTCCGTCATTTCCTAGCTGTGTGACCTTGGGCAAGTGTGGCCTCCAACTCTCTGAGCATTGTGCAAACACACACACACACACACATGCGCACACGCACATTTTTTCAAGACAGGGTTTCTCTGTATTGTTGTATTGTTTTGAAGGCTGTCCTGGAACTCGCTCTGTAGACCAGGCTGGCCTTGAACTCACAGAGATCTGCCTGCCTCAGCCTCCCAAGTGCTGGGATTAAAGGCGTGTGCCACCAACGCCCGGCCCTGTGCAAGTAGATACTAAGTAATCTCTATTCTGTGCCATGGGACCTGGCACTGTGCATTAAGTGACCACAGCCTCTGTCTTTGGGAACTTTTATTATGGTAAAGGGACATATAGACATAATAAGCAGGCAGATAATTTCAGAAGGGCTATGCTAATGAGAACCATGGAGCAAGGGGCTTCGACTCACACTGCAGGAAGAGAGGAGGAGGCTTCCTTTTTAATAAGACAGTCGCATGAAAGGGACATTTGAGCCAGGGTGTGGTGGTGCACACTGTCAATCCCAGCATGCAGAGGCCGAAGTGGGTGGATCCCTGTGAGTCTGAGGCGAGCCTGGACTACATGGTGAGTTCTGGGCCAGCCAAAGCTACATAGAGAGTTCGTGACTCAAAAAACAAACAAACAAACCGACCAAAAGTGCCGTTTATTTTTGAGTAACGGGTAATAAGAGACTGCGGTGCTTTGGCTCAGGGGACCAGGCGGGAAGCTGGTGCAGGACTTGGCATCCAGCAGGTGCTCAGCAAACACTGTTAGGACTGGTAATCCTCCTCCTCTCCTCCTCCTGCCGGGGACCCCCTGAGCTCCCCTTGCATCTCTGGCCCTCTCCTCACCACCGTCCCTCCCTGATTGCAGGAAAGGAATGGATCCCAGCAAGGAAACCGCATCCCCCGCGCTCTCTCTCCTCCCTCCCGCCCTCCTCGGAACCCTCCCACCGCAGCCCAGTGATTTTCCTGCCTCTTCACAAGGCGATTTTATTAAACATCTCGAAAAAATATTCTCTCACTCCCTCTCTCTTTATTTATAAAAATCAACTTAACACCCTGCTCCTTTGTTCTATTTGGATTCTAGAACAGCCTGGTGTATATTTAGCCGAAATCCCGCTCCTTTCCCCACAGATTCCGCTCAGCCCCGACTGCAGGGGCTGCGGGAGGAGGAGGAGAGACAGGGGCTGGGAGGCAGGGGGCTCGCAGGGTCAGTGCCCTGCAGGCCAGGAGAGCGTCCTTCCCTCGGTATCCAGTGATCCCGAGTCCAGGCTTGGCCACCTTCTCGGTCATCCTGTCACTCTATCCCATTCAGATGTCCTCAAAGAGAGACCAGACAGAGAGCAAATGGAGCGGAGACCGGAGCCCTAATCCGGAGCCAGGCTCTGAGCCGCAGCAAGTAGAAAGTGGGCCTGGGTTCAAGTCCAAACTCTCCTCACCCTGTCCCTGTTTGGATGCTGAGGAGTGGGTGTCAGCACTTGAAGTGGCCAACCACAACCGGGGATGTCCTAAGGATGGGAGAGAGCACAAGGAACACATGCTGTAACCAACTCACACTGCGGTTCTGGAGACAAATGAGCAAGGGCCTCCCGGGACCTAAGGGGAAAGCAGGAAATCCGGAAGTGGACGGAGCTGCGCTTGTCTGTATGGATACACAAGGTCTGTCGTCTCTTTTTCCAGAGTCAAACATCCATTTGGCACATAGGACAGAGCTTAGGGCTGTATGGGGGGGGGGGTCGAGGAATAGCTCAGAGTTACATGTTTTGCAAACCCTGGGCTACATCACTAGCAGAAAACGGGGTGGGGTGGGGTAAATAAATGGACTCTTAAGTCATAAAACTGGGAAGGGAATGTGTTTTGGGGTCGGAAGGAATGAGAGGAGTAGTAGGTGTAGGGAAAAGGGTCAGCCAAAGAAACACACCCTGAGCAGAGCCAAAGAAATGCACCCTGGCCGGGCGTTGGTGGCGCACACCTTTAATCCCAGCACTCGCGAGGCAGAGGCAGGCGGATCTCTGTGAGTTCGAGACCAGCCTGGACTACCAAGCGAGTTCCAGGACAGCCTCCAAAGCCACAGAGAAACCCTGTCTCGAAAAAAACCAAAAAAAAAAAAAATGCACCCTGACCCTGAAACTAGAGCCAAAAGGCTAAAAAAGACCAGAGAAAGAAACACACTTTGACCCTGAAACCAGAGCCAAATCTGACCCTAACCCTGTGCAGAAAACCTACCAATCCCTGAGCAGATCTAACCATCCGAAACTCAGGGATTGAAATCTGACCAATCCCCACCCTGGAAAAACTCCACCCCCTAAGAAGCCCCATATAAACCCTGTGTCTGTTCGGCTTGTGTCTGTTCCCACTGCCCAGCTGTCCTCTGCCACCCTGCCAGAGGGCAGCCACTCTCCTGGATTCTTCTCTCCCAATAAATGTCTTGAATGAGGTTTGGGTGAAGACCTTCTTTTACTGGAGTAGAAAAGACCCAGAGCAGAGGAGAGCAGGGCTGTAACAATTTTCCCTGGGGAAACCTTTCCTGGTGAAGCAAAGTTGTTACCCTCTGCTCTCTGGGGGACTGGAGCCGAACTGTAACAACTTCCTAGGGGAAACCCTCTCCTACAGGGGCAGAGTTGATACACTGGGGAAGCCTCTCCCTGAAGCAGGGCTGTAAGCTGCTATGCTTACTGTGACCTGTGGTATTCCTTAGCTCCTGATTGCCAGAATACCTTTCCATCCGAGCTGTGACACTCAGTATTCTGTGATTCCTGAGTGCTAGAATCCATTACTGTCCATCCATCCTATCAGTTGAAATGCTTACAGTAGGTAGTAGATATAATCAAGACACGTTATATATGCCTTATGCAGTTGCCAAAGGATCAATTAAAATTTTTAATAAGAGCAAGTTGAATAAACATTCACAAAAGATATGCAAATAGCCACTAATCACACACAAAGCTGCTCAGATGTCTAGCTGAGAATGCACAAACGGAAGACAGGAGATACTAGAAACAAAATGGGGTGGCTAAGCTAATGGGTAAACAAACATGGTATGTTCATACAGTGATGGAATAGTATTCATCTATGAAAAGGGATCAAATGCTGATGCATGCTAAAATGAGAATGTTTTTTACCAGGTGCTGACGCATGCCTGTAATCCTGGCACTTGGGAACTGAGGCAGAAGGACCAGGAACTCAAAGCCAGGCCTACCATATAGTGTGACCTTGTCTCAAGGGGGGAAAAATTAGGGTCTGAGACAGCTCAGCAGTTAAGAGCACACGCTGCTCTTGCAGTACCTGTGTTCAGGTCCCAGAACCCACACCAGGTGGCTCATAAGCACCTGCAACCCCAGCCCCAGCCCCCAGGGAACCCAGCATCTCTGGGATCTACTGGTACCTGCATTCGTGTGCAAAAACACAACTGCACCCACACATACATATAAATTAAAAATAAAAACACATGGCCGGGCATTGGTGGTGCATGCCTTTAATCCCAGCACTTGGGAGGCAGAGGCAGGCGGATCTCTGTGAGTTCGAGGCCAGCCTGGCCTACAAAGTGAGTTCCAGGACAGCCTCCAAAGCTATGTCTCGAAAAACCAAAAAATAAAAAATAAAAACACATTAAAATAAGGACTAATAGTAAAGATCCATGATATGGGCATATATATGAATACGTGACAAAGAATGTGTACTTGGAATTAAGAACCCTTATTATCTGAGCAGGGCAGTCAGTGGGGGTGCATGTCTTTAATTCCCGCACTTGGGAGGCAGAGGCAGGTGGATGGCCACAGCTACTCGGAGAAACTTTGTCACAAATAGATTAGAATGAGTTCCAGGACAGCCAGGACTACACAGAGAAACCCTGCCTCAAAACAAACAAACAAGAAACCTTAGTATGAAGGCAAGGAAAACAAACCCATAGCAGGCAGTGTCTGCAAGGTGGCTCCCAGAGTAAAGGCGTTTGCCACACAAGCCTGTCACCCTGAGGTCAGCTCCCGGAACCATATTACGGTGGAGGAGAGGACTGACTCACAAACTTGTTCTCCTCCCAGTCACCCTACACTGTGGTGTGTTTATGCACAGGATGGGGAATATTATTTTAAGGTGTGTGACTTTTGTTTATGCTGCATGTGTTTAACTCTGTGAAGCTGTGTTACTGTGCCAGTGTAAAACACCTGATGGTCTAGTAAAGAGCTGAATGACCATAGAGAGGCAGGAGAAAGGATAGATGGGGCTGGCAGAAAGAGTATAAGTATGAGAAATCTGGGAGAAGAGAGATCTGGGAACAAGAAAGGAAGGAGGAGGACTTCGTGGCCAGCTACACAGCCAGACACGGAGTAAGAAGGAAAGAAAAAGTATACAAGAAGAAAGAAAGATAAAAGCCCCAAGGTCAAAGATAGGCGGGATAATTTAAGAAAAGTTGGCAAAAAAAAAAACCCAAGCTAAGGTGGCATTTATAATTAAGAATAAGCTTCTGTGTGTGATTCATTTTGGAGCTGGGTGGTGGGCCCCTCAAAGAGTCCAAAAAGCTAAAAGAGCAAAAACATCACACAACACACACACAATAATACATTTTTATTACTTTATGTATGTAAGTGTTTGAGTGCGTGTGTGTGTGTGTGTGTGTGTGTGTGTGTGTATGTGTGTGTGTGTGTGTGTGTGTGTGTATGTGCACCACATGAATGTCTGGTATCTTAGGAGGCCAGAAGAGGGCATGACATCCCCTGGATCTGGAGTTACAGATGCCTGTATGCCACCAGGTGGGTGCTGGGAATCTGGGTCCTCTGAAAAGCCACCAGTGCTCGTAAGCATGGAGCCAGAGATCTCTCCAGCCCCATTGATCTCTTTAAGTAGGCAAAATGACTAAACAAGGGTTTTCACAAAAAAACATGAAAATGGCCTATAAAAACAAGAAAAGATCTCAAAACCTTTAGCTGGCAGGGAAGTACAAGTTAGAACCAATCCAAGACACCCCTGCACACGTTAGAATGAATTTCTCAGATGCACAAAACTCCTAAACGCATAGCACTGGCGAGATCCTGGAGTGTAAAACAGCAGCTCTGTTGGGGAATTCCGACAGTTCCTTATAATACAAAGCTAAACATACACACCTATCTGTGGTCTCATAATTCTACTCCTAGCCATTTCCCTGAGAGAAATGGAATGTGTGTTTATACGAAAGTCTGACGCATGAATTTCATAGCTTTATTCTTCCTTAAAAAATAGTTGGATGTGTATGTGTGTGTGCCTGAGTGTGTATATATGCCTCGTGTGCCTGCGGGAGCCCAGAAAGCTCAGCAGAGGGTGTCAGATCGCTTGGAACTGGAGTGACAGGTGGTTGTGAGCTATCACGTGGGTGCTGGGAACTGAGCCTGGATCAACAAGTACTCTAACCACGGAGCGACCTGACCTCTCCAGCCCCTCCGGCTAGTTTTTGTTTTTGTTTTTGTTTTTTTTTCGAGACAGGGTTTCTCTGTATTGTTTTGGAGGCTGTACTGGAACTTGCTCTGTAGACCAGGCTGACCTTGAACTCACAGAGATCCGCCTGCCTCAGCCTCCCGAGTGCTGGGATTAAAGACGTGCGCCACCAAAGCCCGGCCTCTGGCTAGTTTTCTTTTTTTAATATATTTTTTCCCATTTGATTGAAAGGGCTATTTTTTCTGGCTAGTTTTTATTGTCAACTTAACATAGCCTAGAGTCACCAGAAGAGAGGGCACCTCAACTGAAGAATTGCCCAGGTCAGATTGCCCAGGGGCTGTGTCTGTAAAACTTGCCTAGGACTCACTCTATAGAGTTCTTTGTGACGTCCGCACCACAAGCAAGTCCAAGGTCTCGGGAAATGAAAGACACAACGTCCAACCATTTGTGCTGAGAGAATGCACCTGCTGCCTTTATTGCCAGGAAAATGTGTGTGTGTGTACGTGCCATGTCTGTATGTCTGCCTGTGTGTCCGCTGTAAGGAGTGAGCAGCCCTATCTATATACAGACTTAGAGCCCAGTGGAGAAACCCCAGGTGTAAGAGCTGGTGTTTTCCTCATGCTAGATGCTGATGCCAGATGGGCAAGGCCGGGCTGTAAGCCAGGACTAGAAAACAGGATGCACCTGTGGCTATCAGCTGACAAGCAACGAACAGAGATCCGTGGGGACTGGGGTCCAACAGTCCTTGAACTCAGAGATCTGCCTGCCTCTGCCTCTCAAGTGCTGAAATCAAAGGCCTGTGCCACCACGCTGGCTTGTAAAACAGGCTTAATTGAACATTGATAAGGATGGTCTTGAACTCTGGATCCCTCCTGGCGATACCTGCTGAGTGCTGGAATTACAAGAGTACACTGCCACATCTGTTTTTATTTATATGTTGTTTGGTTTGTTTTTGTTTGTTTGTTTGTTTAAGAGAAGGCCTTACTATGTAGCCTTGACTGGCCTGGAACTTGTTAGGTAGACTAGGCTGGCCTCAAACTCACAGAGATCTGCCTGCCTCTGCCTCCTGAGTGCTGAGTTTAAAAGTGTCCATCGCCATGCCCAGGCCCTGCTTTTGAGATGGAGATCTCACTGAATTGCTCAGGTTGGTCTAAACTCCAGGCCTCAAGCAAACCTGTTTCGGCCTCTGGCCCAGCAGGGACTACAGGTGGATGCTGATTGCACCTGAGTCCTCGGGGTTTCAAAGCAGGTCTTGGGGGGTCTTGTCTCCTTGCTTTCACAGCCGTGTCACACCCTCCTCGCTGAGCAGGGCACTGTGGGGATGGCAGTCTGTAGGAGGAGAGAGAAGCCTTTTCTCCCCATCATGTAGGTTTTTAGATAACCCATAGGCACACCAGGATCTTGCTCTTGGATGGATTTTTCTGTGGAAGCCAGCCCCAGGCCCTGAGGACACCCCTGGGGAAAGCCACCAGCATCCAGGGCAGCCAGTGTCACCCTGCCAAGTGTTTAGAACACAGGCTGCCATGTGACCACTCATAACCTCATCAGCTATAACACCCAGGCCTGCGGCTCCTGCTTCTGGACTCCAAGAAACCACGCAGAGTTCTGGGCAGTGGCAGGGCACGCCTTTAATCCCAGCACCGGGGAGGCAGGGGCAGGTGGATCTACAGAGTGAGTTCAAGACAGTCAGAGCTACACAGAGAAACCCTGTCTTGAAGAGAGAGAAAAAAAAAGCAAATAATAAAGGCTGGCCATAGGATAAGTAGAAACCATGCAACGTAATAAATGTTCTTGCTCAGGCCAGGTTCAACACCAAAGTTAGTCCCAACTGTTAGGGAGGGTCAGGCGGAAAGATCGATTTGCTGACGAGATCACGACTAGCCCGTGCGGCATAGCAAAACCACGTCTCATAAATAAATGAGTAGACACTGCAGTTAGAAACCATTGCATTTGGGGGTAATTTGTTCTGCCGCAGTGATGACATAAGCTAACATCCACAGAGCACTTACCACTGATTTCTGTCTGCTGCCTGTTTGCCTGCCTAAAGCCACCTTCTCCAGGCGCGGTGGCCCGCACCTGCTCTCAGCACTCGGGCGGTAGAAGCAGGTGGATCTCTGGGAGCTCCAGGCCAGCCAGGGCTATGTAATGAGGCCTTGTTTCAAAAATAAATAGGGGCTGTAGGGGTGGCGCAAGGCCTAGCTGCCCTGTGTGCACTGCTGTTCCATGGAGCTCGAGTTGGGCACCCGTGTCCCTGACTCACAACCGCCTGTGACTCCGGCGGAGTCCATTGCACTGCACCCATAGGCACATAGCGAGCAGACATGCACACTGCAGACTGGCAGGATGGCTCAGTGGATAAGGGCAGACAAGCCTGAAGACTAGAGTTTAATACCTGGGACCCAGGGGGTGTGGAGAGCACTCCTGAAAGTTGTCCTCAGACCTCCATGCGAGCCCTGTGTCATGTGCTCACTCACACACCAAGGCAGGTGACCTCTGTGAGTCCCAGGTCAGGCATGGCTGCGTAGTGAGACCTTGCCTCGAAACAAATACGGACTGGCCACACAAGACCACCACCCCCAGCTATGTAACAAGTTTGAGGCCAGCCTGGGTGATAAGATCCTGAGGATACAGCACTCAGGAAACAGAGGCAGGGGAATCTCTGTGAGTTTGAGGCCAGCTTAGTCTACATAATGAATTCTGGGTCAGGCAGGGTTACATGGTGAGATTTTGTCTCAGTGTGGGGGGGGGGGGGACCTTGGAGAGGAAGTGGGAGAAGATAAAATAAAAAAAAAAAATCCCCTACATTAGACAAGGAAGTAGATATTTAAGAGAAACAGGAGGAAACAGCTAATGGGACACCAAGGGCAAGTTCCTGTGCTCTAGCGTGGAAGTGTGACGGAGGACACCCACCTGTCCTTACTCCTTGACCGTTAACAGTGGCTACAATAGGTTAGCCCAAGACCTTCTCCAGAAGACACTGATGTTCACCAGCCCGGCCCGCCGGGGTCAAAGCTGGTGAAGTTCTGGGCTGTGGGGATTAACGCAGCCCAGGGACACCCAGGAAGCAGCCTGGGCCTCGTCAGGGACTCGAGTTATTTTTGAAAGGCAAGCAAGGCCTGCAGGCGGCCCTGGCAGGGCTCGGAGCTGGAAGATGGGTGAGCCAGGAGCAGAGGGAAACAGACAGCAACTGCAGAGCCCACGCCCGGTCCCTATGACGTCAGCCCCACGCACTGTGACTTCAGACAGTGGCGGCGGTGGCAGGGGATGGGGGGAGGCATCCATCCTTGCATCCCCTTGGGTGCACTTTTATAAATTGTGGTAAGATATTCATAACCTAAAATTCATTCTTGTGAATTTTTAACAGCCTCCCCCCTCAAGGGGGGGCAGCTGAGTGACATTGAAGACCGAGTTTTTGCTGGAACAGGGATTGTGGATGCCAGCCAAAAGTATTGGTTCACCAAATGGTGCAGCTAGGTTTTGCTCTATTTGGGAAGAATTCTGAAATTGGAGGGCAGGTCATTGCTCTGGGGCAAAGCTGGAGCCAGGGGTCAGGGTAGAGTTGACAGACATCTTCCATCTCACCAAGGGAAGCTGGGTGGAGAGGGGAGGGGGGAAGAGGACAGGTGCTCTGGCTGGCATCTGACAGCCGCGGGGGGGGGGGCGCGGAAAGCGGCAGGGCAGAGCCGCCTAATGAAGCGTGCATGCGTGCGCTGTAAAGGAGAGGTGTTTGCAACTGGGCAGGGGGTCATGGGCAGCCAGAGGGAGCCATCAAGTCCCCAAAATAACTCACCGCTTCTGCGGGAGATGCTGGAACGAATCAAGGAGGGGAAAATCCAGAACTCCAGCCGAGAGACTGCCGACTGCCGGGAGGGAGCATTAGAAGAAGCTGAGGGCGCTTAGCCAAAGAGGTATTTGCCCCCACGAGGGGTTGTTGCCCCAGAAAACTGTGCCAACCTAGCCAGAAGATCCTCCCAGGGCCCCCCTCAGAAGAGCTCCAGTGGCTGGCTCGCATCCCTGCTGTATGGCCCTGTGCAATAGCATATGGCTAAGGCCCTGGACCATTTGAATTCTCTTCTCCCTTGCTCCTCCCCACCCCGCTCTGGTTTCTGAGGCAGGGTTTCTCTGTATAGCCCTGGTTGTCCTGGAACTCACTCTCTGTAAACTGGGCTGGCCTCGAACTCAGAGATCTAAACTCAGAGACCAAAGGTGTGTGTCTCTGGCTCTGGATCCCTTGCTCTGAGCCTCTGTTTTCTCACCTGGAAAATGGGATTCAATTCCTACTTGCCCCACAGTGTAGTTGATTAGGTTTTGTTTGTTTGTTTGTTTTATTTTTTTATTATGAATCTACCCAGTAGCTCTAGGGCAAAAGGAGTTAACTTTCTGTCTCCTCCCCTATGGGGGAATAGACCAAGGTGTGCAGAGCCCAAAGTCAGCTGCATCACATAGAAATGGAAGTCCCAAGTCTCTAGTTCATTCAGATGTCTGACAGGCTGTGGTGCCTGCTGTGTAGCCTGATTTGGTCTCTGGAACCTGCGGTGGAAGAAGAGGACCAAACGTTGTCCCCTGGTCCCTGCATGCATGCTGTGCTGAACAGCAACCCCCATTTAGAGTGGGAGGGGCTGGGGAGGTGGCTCAGAGGCTAAAAGCACTGGCTGTTCTAGTACAGGGCCCATTTGGTTCCCAGCACCCACATGAAGAGCTCACAACTGTCTCCAACTCCAGTTCTGGGAGATACGATGCCCTCTGCTGGCCTCTGTGGCACCTGCACACATATGGTGCACATAAACTCAGGCAGGCACATATAAAGTACACATAAGAAAAATAAATAAGCCGGGTGGTGGTGACCCACGCCTTTAATCCCAGCACTCTGAGAGGCAGAGGCCGGTGGATCTCTGTGAGTTCGAGGTCATCCTGGTCTACAGAGTGAGTTCCAGGACAGACTTCAAAACCACAGAGAAATCCTGTCTTGAAAAACGGTGTGTGTTTAAAAGAAATTTAGATTTTTTTTATACCGCCTAGATGTCCTGGCCCTTCACCACCTGGGAAAAGGGACAGTAGCCTACAAGCAGTTTCCAGTCCCTCCCTGACTGCCTCTCTCCAGGCCCTGCAGAAGGCAGATCCAATAAGGACACTGGAACCCTCCTCTGAGTTGAGATATTCAGGCCTCAGAGGGGACAATTTGCTTTGGACTCACTATAGGGCATTGGTCAAAGCCCTTTTGTTCTCTGAGCCTTAGTGGGAGATTTTTTTCTTTCAAAAGGTAGTTAGCTGAGGGGCCTGGAGGGATGGTTCAGCAGTTAAAAGCACTGGCTACTCTTCCAGAGGACCTGAGTTCAATTCCCAGCACCCACATGGTGGCTCACAGCCATCAGTAATGGGATCTGGCGCCCTCTTCTGACCTGTAGGCGTACATGCAGGCAGAACACTGTATATACAATAAATAAGTCTTTAAAAAAAAAGTAGTTAGCCAAACACAGGCCCACATGTTCCTACCCTCTCCCTTCCCCTTTGTGCCAGTTTAGCCAGTTGAGTCTGGTCATGCAGTTGATCTCCAACCAATGGGATGAGACACAGTCACCACGTGTAATAAGTATGAACGACAGAGATCAGCTTGGCCACGTGTGCTTGCTAGCCCGTTTGGGGCGTGGCACACCATTTTTACAAACAGGGATTGCCTTGCAGGATTACTTTCCCTTAGTGTGCTCCGTGGTGAGACTAACAGTGAGAGCATTCTTTTTCCACACTCGGTTTCCCTAGCTGCTGAACAAGGGGCAGTCGTGGGAGACCCTAATCCTGGGGAGTCTAGATTTTTGTTCCCTGGCTCTATGGATAATGGGGGGCAGACAGGGGAAGAGGCAGTTCCCCTTCCTCCTTCCGCTCCCCTGGGGGGTAGTGGGGGGAATGGGAGTAGGTGCTGCCCACTGGCGAGGCAGCAAGCAGACGCTGCAGCCTGTCTCCCTCCTGTGTGCCAGGCACTGTCCCGTATAGCGGAGGTGACAACATTGCACAAAACAGACCACCAGGACCTTGTTCCCACAGGACTCCTATTCTAATTGGATGAAACAAGAGAACCAAACAACAACTCAACAGCCAGAGTAATTTCAGGAAGGGGGAAAAAATACTGTGTGAGCAAAACCTAACATTGTTGTCGACACAGGGTCTCATGTAGAGCAGGCTAGCTTCAGACTCACTATCTTGTTCAGAATGAGAATGGCCCTTAGCACCTGATCCTTCTGCTTCCATCTCTGAAGTGTTGGGGATACAGTAATATGTCACAACATTCTGCAAAACAAAACAAAAAACAAACAAAAAAGGCCAAATCTTTCTAAAGCATGTTCTACAGGCGGGGCATTGCTAACATGTTAAACAGTGTGTGTCAGTCACACACACACAATATGCCATTCAAGGCAATACCACCACCCCTGTCTTATACGTGTAGGAATGACAGCAGAGAGAGGTGAAGTCATCTTCCTAATGTCACACAGCCATTGGGAGGTAGAGCTGGCATTTATACCCAGGCCATCTGGCTCCGTGTGCTGGCTGGTAGGGGCAGCATTAAGTAGGGCAATTTGTCCAGAGAAAAGTACTTTGAAGAGGTTGACATATGAGCTGAGATGCAATAAGACAAGGCAAGTCCAGGAAACAGAAGGTTCCAGATGGTGAGAACACTGAGTGCAAAGGCCCTGAGGCTGAAATGCAAGGAGACTAGCGTTAGCTGAGGTGGAGGATGGGTGAGATCAGAAGGGGGCTAGCACAGACAGATAGGGGTGACATGCCACCTCACCCCTCCTCTAGGACATTCCGGATCTTCCTTGCTGTTCTGAGGAACGCTCAGAAGTGTGGCCTAAAACGTTCTTGACAGGAGCAAGGACCCTTTCCTCCACAGTCAGGCCAGTTAGGCTCAGGGCAAGCTGATCCTCTGCCCTGCACTGTTAAGAAACAGCCTTGGCTGGCCACCCACCCGCTGTTTAGCCTCTGCTCCGAGTGACGGATGGCCTTGGTGCCTGGCAGTGTGTGAGGGGCTCTATCCTCCCTCACCCAGACACAGGAACACAGAGGACACCCAGTAAGGGGGTGCAGTATCCCAAGGCTGACCTTCGGGTAGGGGAGATGTCAGGGGGACTGGCAAGGGCTCCCTCTTGCTTTAGACTGACCCTGTGTTAGTTTGCAATGCGGCTTCCCTTCTGTTAGTATTAGAAAAACTAATACTTATCCTATAGGATTGTTGTGGGGAAAAAATATACATATATATATAGAGAGAGAGTGAGAGAGAGAGAGGAGAGAGATGCTAATTTTTTTCCATTGCAAAGCCCCTGGCCCTTGGTTAATAACACATAATATTAGCTAGCATTGGTATGAAATGTTCCATAAATATTTGTTGAGTAGGTCCCAGGACCTTTCCATACAGCATTTATCGTTTATTTGATCCACAGGGCTCTTGAGGCCTCAGACTCAACGCTGTGTCTGGGATTGAGTTCTTTGCTCATCTACCTCCTCCTCCTCCCCAGGCTTCCCTAGCTGCCATGGCTTCATCTCAGAAAGGATGTCTCCCAGCAGTCAGGAGGCAGACGAAAGTGGATCCCTGCGAGTCTGCAGCCAGTCTGGTCTATAGAATTTCAGGCCGGCCAAGCCAGACAGCCAGGCCTACAAAGCGAGACCCTCAAGAAGAAAGAGAAAAGAAAGGAAATGAATAAACGTGAAAGTGGGTACCCCTATCTTGGCATAGCAGCCCCACCTCCAATGCCAGCCCTCGGAAGGCTGAGGGGATGTGCCTGCCTCTGTTTCCCAAGTGCTACCACACTCAACCCAACCTCTCCTTTTAAAAATTAAAGATAGAGCTGGAAAAATGGCTCAGTGGGTAGCATATGCTCTTCTGACTTCTAGGGGCACCCCACCTGACCCCACACACAGAGACACATGTAAATGATCTTTTTTAATTAAAAGAGGGCAGGCAAGATGGCTCAGTGGGTCAAAGCCCTGTGGCCAAGTCTAATGACGAGAGTGAAATCCTTGGGACAGCTGACTCCTGCGGGGCAGTCCTTGGCCTCCACCTGCATGCTAGGTCATGAAAGTCCTCCCTTCCCAAACACAGATACGCACACGGGGCTGGAGAGATGGCTCAGCAGTTAGGGTACTGGCTGCTCCTCCGGAGGACCTGGGTTCAATTCCCAGCAGCTACATGGCAATTCACATCTGTCTATAACTCTGTTCCAGGGCTTCTGACCCCTCACACAGGTACACATGCAGGCAAAACCCCAATGCATGTAAGATAAAAATAAATAGTTGTATGCTAAGGGGACAGTAGGAGAGATCTCAGATGCTTTAGTCAGAGCCCATGATACAGGGAGTTCAGGTAGGATCCTAAAGGCAGGAGCTGATGCAGAGGCCATGGAGGGTGCTGCTTACTGGCTTGCTCCCCATGGCCCTCCCCCATCAATCACTAATTAAGAAAATGCCCTACAGGCTTGACCACAGGCCAATCTGATGGGGACATTTTATTTGATGTTCCATCTCCCCAGGTAACTAGAGTTTGTGTCAAGTTGAGAAAAGACTAGCCAGCACAGTGACACCTTTTTAAAAAAAGCTATTATTATTAATGGTGTGTGTGTGTGTGTGTGTGTGTGATGGGATGCATGCATGTCACTGCATGTCTGCAGAGGGCACAGAACAATTTTGTGGACTTAGCTCTCTCCTTCAATCTTTACTTGGGTTCCAGGCATCAAACTCAGGATGCCAGGTTTGCCCTACAAGCACCTTCACCCTCTGAGTCACCTCACCAGCCCTGAAGTCTCTGGTTTTGTAAGTTTTAGTTCATGTGTGTGGGCGTGTTTGCATGCACACCTGTCTGTGCATCACCCATGCGCCTGGTGCCTGTGGAGGCCGCAAGAGGGCCCCAGGTTCTCTGGAATTGGAGTTACAGATGATTGTGAGCTGCCATGTGGGAACTGAACTTGAGTCCTTTGCAAAAGCAGCAAGAGGTCTTAAGCACTGAGCTATCTCTCCAGCCCCACTGAGGTCTTTTTGTTTGCGACAGGGTTTCACTGTGTAACTCTGGCTGTCCTGGAACTCACTGTGCAAACCAGACTGGGCTTCAACTCACACCTGCCTCTGACTTCTGAGTGCTGGGATAAAAGGCATGCACCACAACTCCTGACTCTACTGAAGTCTTTTCTTAAGGGTACTTATCCCACTCAAGGAGGCTGGAGACCATCTTATTCTCCGAAGTCCCGCCCCCTCACCGTATCAAGCTGGGTGTTTAGATCTTAATACGTGAATTCAGTCCACTACATTCGAATGTTGCCAGTGGGTGTGTAAAATGGTTCGGCCACTATGAAAAAGTCTGGCATTGCCTCAAAAAGTTAAACATAGAATTACTATAAAACAATAATTCCATCCCTAAAAAACCGAAACAGGCTCTCAGACAGACACTGGTTCACCAATGTTCATAGGACTCTCCACAACAGCCAATCATTTACAAGTGGATGTACAAAGACATTCGAGCGATTAAATTGTAGTGTGGCGCACACCTTCAATCCCAGCACTCAGGAGGCACAGGCAGGTAGATCTCCAGGAGGTTTTCTGTGTTTTGTTTTGTTTCAGAGACAGGATCTCACCATGTAGCTCTGTCTGTCCCAGAACTTGCTCTGTAGATCAGGCTGGCCTCAAACTCAGAGATCCACCTGCCTCTGCCTCCCCAAGTGCTGGGATAAAGGGTGTGTGCCACTACACCGAGCTGATCTCTGGGAGTTTGTGGCTAGGCTAGTCTACATAGCAAGTTCCAGGACAGCCAGGGATACATAATAGAGAGACCCTTCCAGTGAGAGAGAGAGAGAGAGAGAGAGAGAGAGAGAGAGAGAGAGAGAGAGAGAGAGGATATATAGACGTAAAAGGAATACTACAGTACTACAGCCTGGATGAACCTTGAAGATACTAAGCTAAGCAAGAGAAGCCAGACACAGAAGGTCACATAAGATGACTTTTATAGGAAATGTTCACAATAGGTAAAGCCATGGAGAGAGAAATTGGATTAGAGGTTGTCAGGGCCTGAATAGAGTGGAAGCCGTGAGTGTTGCTTCCTGTGTGTGGAATGATAAACATGTTTGTTTCGTTTTGTTTTGTTTTCTTGTTCTTTGAGACAGGGTTTCTCTGTATGGTTTTTTTTGGAGGCTGTCCTGGAACTAGCTCTTGTAGACCAGGCTGGTCTTCAACTCACAGAGATCCGCCTACCTCTGCCTCCCGAGTGCTGGGATTAAAGGCGTGGGCCACCACCGCCTGGAGATAAAAATGTTTTGAAAGTAGGAAAGTGGTTTCTTAATTCCCTAAACCATTGCAAATATACCGAATGTCATCAAGTGGACATATTACAATGCATACATAAAACAATCATGCAAAGAAACTTTATGTCCCCTTCCTTGAGTCAGACTGCTTTGGGGACTGTTGGCAATTAGACTACAGCAGAAGTGATGGTCTGAGACCAGACTAGAAAAGACATCATAGTCGCTTTTATTATTAATTTTTGATGTGCGTGTGTGTTTGTATGGGTGCATGTTATGTAATGCATATGAATGTGTACCCGTGTACACACATCCCAATGTCTGGGATCTTCCTCTACCATTTTCTGCCTTTTTGCCTTGAGATAGGGTCTCTCCCTGAACCAGAACTTCTCCATTTTGGCTAGTCCAGCTGGCTCTTGAGATCTGCCTGTCCCTACCCCAGATGCTGGGCTTACAGGCATGCAAGCCACAACCATGCAAGCCACACCCAGCTTTCTACAGGGTGCTGATCCTCCAGTCTCCACCTCCCAGAGCCAGGGTTACCAGCAGGCACCATAGTGCAGGGCCCTGTGGCTTCTGGGTTTCGGAAGCCAGCTGCCATGCTGTGCCCCATGGAGAGGTCACATGGAAGTGCACTGAGGCCGAACAGTCCCAACTAAGGGTCCAGCTCACAGTTCACAGGACGACTACCCACATGAATGGAGCCATTGCAGCTGCCCAGCGTCCCCGCTGAGACCCCTATGCAGATCTGTCCTCGATGCATGAGAAAATAGACGTTGCTATTGAGAGTCACAAAGTTTCAGGGTGACTCATTGCATAGCAACATGTCACTGGTGTTAACTTTTAAAAAAAAGTGGACATAATGGCACACATCTTTGATCCCAGTACTTGGGGAAACAGAGGCAGGCTGGTCTCTGGGAGTTCAAGGCCAGCCTGATCTACAGAGTGAGTTCCAAATCAGCCAGAACTACACTGTGAAACACTGCAGCAACAAAAAAGTTACTTGTGTGTGCGTGTGTGTGCACGTGTGCGCGCGTGTGTGTGAGCGTGTGAGTGTGTGAGTGTGTGCATGTGTGTGGTGTGTGCATGTGAGTGTGTGTGAATGTGTGCGTGTGTGTGTATGAGTGTGTACGTGTGTGTATTTGGTTTTGTGTGTGAGTGTATGTGTGTGCATGGGTGTGTATCTGTGAGTGTGTATGGTGTGTGTGAGTGTGTATCTGTGAGTGTGTATGGTGTGTATGAGTGTGTGTGTGAGTGTATACGTGTGTGTATTTGGTTTTGTGTGTGAGTGTATGTGTGTGCATGGGTGTGTATGTGTGAGTGTGTGTATGGGTGTGTATGAGTGTGTGTGCTTGTGTGCGTGTGTGAGTGTGTGTGAGTGTGTGCGTGTGTGAGTGCGTACTGTGTATTTGGTTTTGTGTGTGAGTGTGTGCATGTGTGTATTTGGTTTTGTGTATGCGTGTATGTGTGTGCATGGGTGTGTGTGAGTGTGTGTATGGGTGTGTATGAGTATGGGTGTGTATGTGTGAGTGTATGTGTGTGTGTATGGGTTATGGACCACAGTATATGTGTGGAGTTCAGAGTTCAGCTTTCAAGACTTGCTTTCCTTCCATCATCATGTGGGTCCCAGGGACTGAACTCAGGTCACCATGCTTGGCAGCAAGCACCTTTGCCCACTGAGGCATCTCACTGGCCTCACCATTGTGACCTCTAACCACTTTACAGGGCCTCCCACTTTTATCCCTACTTCCCTGGTCTTTTTTCTCTTCTTCGAAGGCAGCTGAGTTTTTCTACCAGGTCCCCGTTCCTCCCCAGCAATTAGATGGAAGCTTCCTTCTAGAACCTTCCTCAGTCCTCCAAACAGGAAGCAAGCTCCTTAGTGTGGGCAGTAAGGCCCCCGAGGCACCACCCCCTGCCCTTCTCTTTGGCCCAGACGCCCTCCCCCATTTCCGCCCCTACTACTCAGCCTCTGGGACTCATTACTTTCCCTGCCTAGGAGATGCTCTTCCCTATGTCGGGCCACTGCCTCTCTCCATCTCGGACGTGCCAACTCCAGGAAGCCCTCTCTCATGTCACAGGATGATTCGGTTCATCTCTGGACACACATTTATCCCGTCTTAGCCTGTCGCAAGCTTCTCCAGCCTTCTTAGCAGCCAGTCTCTTCCACCACAGACAGAGCAGGCCAGGAAGCCCAAAGACTGGCGCTTCTGGATGCTGCTAATTCCCCTGGCCTGGGGCTTCCCCTCGTTCCCTCTTCCCAAGAGACCCTGCCAATCACAGACCTGGGGCAGAGGTCAGGGAAAGCATGCCATAGCAGCAGGGAGTGCAACCCCTCTCCTTGTGCTTGACAGGAGCCCAGCCCAGAGCTAACAGCTGAGTGGTTTGTCCACCTCCCCACAAAGAGCACTGCACAGGAAGCCTTTCACGGCCAGCCTCTTCTAGTTTCCGGCTGTGTGGCCTGAGGTAAGGACTGCAGCTCTCTGACCCTTTCTCCCCACTTGTGTAAAAGGGAGCTGTGGTAATAACTCTTCAGGGGCTATGGTGAAGAATAAAAGGGGAGAATGTGTCTAAGAAAAACACTGAGTACCCAAATGGTGGCACACACCTTTAATCCCAGCATTCCGGAGGCAGAGGCGGGTGGATCTCTGAGTTCTGGGTCAGCCTGGTGGCTCAGAGAAGGCCTCCTATCATGTGAGCTACACTAATCTAGACTTAGTGGTGGTACCCAGCACATAGTAGGTACTCACCCAATGCTGTAACATTGAAAAATGTGGTAAGGAAACACCAATCATAATGACATTGACGAGTCAACTCATTTGGCTGTCACAACCACTATAGGAGGTGGGTGTTATAGCTGGGCGGTGGTGGCACATGCTTTTTTTAAAAAATGATTTATTTGCCGGGCGTTGGTGGCGCACGCCTTTAATCCCAGCACTCGGGAGGCAGAGGCAGGTGGATCTCTGTGAGTTCGAGGCCAGCCTGGTCTACAAGAGCTAGTTCCAGGACAGCCTCCAAAGCCACAGAGAAACCCTGTCTCGAAAAACCAAAAAAAATAAAATAAAATAAAAATGATTTATTTATTTTTATTTCATGTACATTGGCTCGCCTGTATGAGGGTGTTGGATCCCTTGGAACTGGGATTACAGACAGCTGTGAGCTGCCACATGGGTGCTGAGAATTGAACCCAGGTCCTCTGGAAGAGCAGCCAGTGCTCTTAACCACTGAGCCATCTCCCAGCTCTGGCACATGCCTTTAATCCCAGCACTTGGGAGGCAGAGGCAGATGGATCTTTGAGAGTTCAAGACCAGCCTGGTCTACAAAGTGAGTTCCAGGACAGCCAGAACTGTTACACAGAGAAACCCTGTCTCGAAAAACAAAAACAAGGAGGTAGGTGTTTATTGTGCTCAATATTTTAACATTATTTGGTATGGAGGGGATAGGGCCTTGGTGTTTAGCCCAGGCTAGCCTCCCATGTGTTGGGATTATAGCCACCCATCACCACATTCAGTTTATTCCACTCACTTTATGGATCAGAGAGTTGAGGCCCAAGGGCCTACAGGACACAGGATGTGGAGGCTAGCTACAGACCGGGCAGGCTGACTCCTTAGCCCTCAAACCACCACCCTGTCTCCCACCTCTCTAAAGCCCATGCTACCTCAGCTCGTATTCTGGCCCCTGCCTCAGTCTTGTGACTCTGGCTAACAGCCCTCCTTGGGCTACAAGAGGACTGCAGGAGGGAGGCAGTGGTAAAGGGAACGTCAGGCCGTTCGAACCAGCCAGGCAATGACCACTGACTGGCCGGCGCTAGTGGTGACTGACCAGTGGGGACAGAGGAACACTTCGGATGCCTGGGCTGTCACAGACAGGTTACCACATGAAGACCACTGGAGCATCTTCCATACAGACCACCCTGGGGAAGGGGGCTGGCCTCTGCCTATTTCCAGCCCCCAAAGGCCCGGAGGGAGGCTGAGGCAGCCACCCCCAGATGTCTATTCCTGTCTCTGGCCTAGCGCCGGGCTGGGGAAGCAACAGCTATTTTGAGGCCCTTCTCCCTCCAAGCGTGAGCGGTGGGAAGGTGCTGGGAACATCCCGAACCGGGAGGCTGTCCATCACAGATGTGCCCTGGATGTTGGCCACCCAAGGCTCCTGTGACTCTGCCCCTTTTCCAGCTGAGGCAATGGACCGGCTCTGAACATGACCACCATGCTGGGATAACAAGAGAGGACCGATTCCAAGCAAGTTCTACTGGAGTAAAGTGACTGGCCCGGCTGTTTGGAGCAGGTTGGACCAGCGGATCTCAAGAGGCTGCTTTGAGTTTACACTCAGAAAAGATGGGGTGGCGAGTGAGCGAGCGAGCGAGGTGCCTTCTCAGGCCTGACAGAAACCGTCTAATCATCATAAGGAAGAAACTGAGATTCGGGGGAGGCAAGGGACCAGCAGGGTGTCTTGGCTCATCTATAATAATCCCAGCATTCCCTTTGCCAAGCCTGTCAGATCACCTCAGTGGGCTCAGCTCTATTTCCTCAGCTGAGGTGAATAGTAGTGATAATACACTTTGGGGGACTGGGTCCGGTGACTGCTTTAACTTATGAAACCAACCTATACATGTGTCTAGTCATCTATTCAGACTGTTGTGACAAAACACCACCGTGTGGTTTAAACAATGAACATTTTTTTGTTCCCAATTCTGGCAAAGTCCGCACTTGGTGTGTGATTAGGGCCCACTTCCTGGATTACACACAGCTGTCTTCTTGGATGTCCCCTGCATGGCAGGAGGGGTAAGAGAGCTCTCTGGGGCTCCTCTCGTAGGGACACCATTTCCATTCATGAGGATTGCAACCTCATAACAATCATTTCCCAGTCACCTCCAAAGTGCCCCCTTACATCATGGCGAGGCTGGGATTTTAACGCAGGAATGGGGGATGACGACCACACAGTGCCCAACATCAGATAAACATGGGAGCTGAGGGCAACGGCTCCTACCTGCAACCCTAGTGAGAGGCAGGAAGGAACATTCCAAGTCAGAGGAGTTCCAGACCAGCCAGGGCTATGGAACGAGTCTGTATAAAGCAAAAAGTGAAGGCCAGCCTGAGCTACATAGTGACACCCTGTTTCAAACTATGGGGGGAGTTGGGAGGCGTGTATAGGGCTGTAGCTTACTTGGCAGAGCTCTTGACTAGTGTGCAGGAAGCCTGGGTTCAATTCCCAGCCCTGTATGAAACAAAGTGTGGTGTCATACACCTGTGATCCCTTTACTCCGGTGAAGCAGGGAGCTCCAGGCCGTCCTGGGCTACACAGCAAACAAGTCAAGGACAGCCTGGGCTACAGGGGACTCTTAAAAAAAATCACAGGATAAGAAGTGAATCTCTCTTCCTACTTAACACTTCTAATTTCTCTCCCCAGAGACAGCCACCATCAACAGCTTCTTGTGTCGCCTTCTGGAAATTTCCCATGCAAATAAAGACAGAAAAGCTATATGGATTGTAGTTAAATGTGCTATAGGAGTTGATACATCCATACAGGGCTTTGATCCCACGACTGGGGAGGCAGAAGCAGGCAGGGTAAGGTCAGCCTAACCCTGAATTCCAGGCCATCCAATGATAGTCAATGAGACCTGTTTCAACTGCTCCCTTAAAACAAAACAAGCAAAAACCTCACCAACCTATCTGGATCAAATGTTGCTCTATAACATAGGATTAATAACATGGAGTACATGCCTTACAAAGTAACTTTGAGGGTTAAGTGACTTAAACTGTGCAAAGTATTTAGAACATTCCCTGGTCCGTGGCTGTCCAATCCTACACACACACACATCTTTCGAATAGACACCAAGGTGCCTTTTGCTGGGTCAAATAAGAAAAATATCGATCACTGTGCGGGGTTGGAGAGGCTCCTTGGCAGTTCAGAACATTGGCAGCTCTTCCAGAGGACGTTCTGTTCCCAGCGCCCACATGAAGGCTCACAACCAACCATCTGTAACTCTAGTTCTAGGGGATCTGACGCCCTCTTCTGGCTTCCCAAAATACTGCAGGCATGTGGTGTTCAGATACTCAAACGGGCAAAACATACACTTAAAAAAAGAAAATCTCCGGGCTGGAGAGATGGCTCAGCAAACCACTGACTGTTCTTCCAGAGATCCTGAGTTCAATTCCCGGCAACCACATGGTGGCTCACAACCACCTTGAATGAGATCTGGTGCCTTCTGGCAGGCAGAAGACTGTATACACAATAAATAAATATTTTTTAAAAAAGAAAATCTCTGTGGTATAATTCCTAGTGGAGAAAGAACTAAATGAAAGGGTGCTGCACTTGGGACTTTACATCCATTTGGGGAGCCACTTGTCCCCAAAACCAGTGACTGGAAACAATGTTCATAGGGCAGTGAGAACTTGTTCCCCAGACCCCTGGCCAAGCAAATGGAAACTGCCTAAACTATCCCCATACTGCTGTAGAAACTGCCAAGCAGGTTCGAGTCCCCTCAGCCACCATCCTTCATGGCTGCATCTAGACTCTAAAAGAGACTTGCTCAGTGCCAAAAGCACCCGAGAGTGACACAGGGACCCGGGGTGTACCTTGATAGCATAGCACAGCACTTGCCTAGCACCCACAATACATTCCCCAGCACCCAAAAGCCGAGCATAGTAGTGCAAGCCTTTAATCCTAGCACTCAGGAGGCAGAGCCAGGTGGACCTCTGTGAGTTTGAGGCTAACATGAGTTACATAGTGTGTTCCTGGCCAACGCCTGGCCAAAACAGGCTTTTCTATTGCGTTGCTGGAGCTAACCTTTGGTTCTGTAGTTGATCCTAAGGGCCAGCTTGGGAGTGGGACCCGTCAGCCCCGAAGGGGAGGGAACCCAACCTCCAGTCACCCTGATCCGATCCAATCCACGCACATCTGACCATCTGACCTGGTTTAGAACCACCGTAATAATAGTAAGCGCCGCCACCGCACGGATGCAGGCGGTGGGTGATGAATGGGCTCAGCGCACAGGTTTGGGCTCAGCAGGGATTAGGCTCCATCCCTGCGTGAGTCATGCCTGCGTGCGTCCGCCTCGCTAAGCCGCAGTCCCTTCCTCTGCCTGACGCTGGCCCACGACTCCCGCCCCCGCGCGGCGGGGACCCGGGTGATTGCAAACAGCCGCCGGCCTCATTAGGAGACGTGTAATTAGCGGCTGGCTGATCCGAGAGCGGGGGCTAATTACCACCGGGAGAGGCTGCGCCGCCGGCGGCCCACCGGGGGCGTCTGGCCCGGTGGCACCATCCTGGATGACTGGCTGGGATCGAGGTGTTTTCTCCTGGTGTCAGTCATTCGTCACCATTTACTAGTTCACTGGGCACTCACTGTGCCGGCCCGTGACAGTGAATCCTACCTCCACCCTAATAATTCCTAATATTCGGAACTAGAGGGGGGAACTGAGCTCTCGGGACTTGCTGTCCTCCGTGACAGCACCTGGCCAGCGTAGGAGGACGGGGATCCAAACCCACGCCCACGGTTATGTTACACTAAGTGGGCAGTGAGCACAGGAGTAGACTGGAGCGCACCACGGCAGGCAGGGACTTTGGAGACAGAATGCTCCAGGTTGAATTCTGGACCTGTTCCGTATTAGGTAGCTGACACTGACCCGGGCCTGAACCGCATCTATAAAATGGGCGCAGGGTTAGGATTGACAGACTGATACCGGGAAGTGTCAGGGATGCTATTTTTAGGGAGGCAGGAGGATGGCGAGGCTGTTGTTCCCAGGCTGGGTTGAGCTCTGGCACACTGTGGGTCTCTGGCACCGCCTACCGGCAAAGAAGGACACTGGCGACGGTGGTTCGAGATGGTGATTGCAGCCTGCCAAGAGAGAGAGAGAGCTTTGGTCCCCCAAACTTGTGGGCGATGGGGAGATTGGGAATTTATCCTGGATCTTGCAAACGATCAGCTGCTGCGAAAGATGTCTTGCTTTGTTGCCACACCCGGCCAGGTGAGGCCGTGAGGTGAGGGCAGTGGCTGCCAAGTCTGACCACCTGAGTTTGATCCCATGGTAGGAGAGGACCAACTGTCAAAACTCCAGCCGTGGCAAGTACACGCCTACACATTTATACAACAAAGAGATAAATCTAATTAAAAGAAATGACCTCGGGCCGGGCGTTGGTGGCGCACACCTTTAATCCCAGCACTCGGGAGGCAGAGGCAGGCAGATCTCTGTGAGTTCGAGGCCAGCCTGGTCTACAAGAGTGAGTTCCAGGACAGTTTCCAAAACAATACAGAGAAACCCTGTCTTGAAAAACCAAAAAAAAAAAAAATTACCTCGGGATAACAAGAAAACCTGTAAGCAATGTGTATGTGGGAATACTAACCGATTTAGTGGTGCATTTAAACACTGCAATACATGGCAGATGAGGAATAAATTAGTAGCAGCACAGGTGACATGAAAATACATGCAAGGAGCAGACTTATAGCCATGTTGCACGGGACAGGCATGTCGTAAAATACATACATCAAGGCCAAGGCCTGGTGACACCTACCCATCCCTACAGAAGTGGCTCCTTCTCTCTAAGGACTTTGGCCAGGGCCTAGGAATTTACAGAGTACTGAAATGCTTTATGTCATACCAGTCTTCACTATGTTACCCATGCCTTTAATCCCAGCACTCCGGAGGCAGAGGCCAACCTGGTCTACAGAGTGAGTTACAGGACAGTCAGGGCTGTTAAACAGAGAACCCTGTCTCACAAAACAACAAGAAGAATATGCACTTTACATACAAGTTTAAGTGATGTGAACCTAGCACACCCCCGTAACCCCAGCTCTTGGGAAACTGAGGCATAATTGCTTCCAGTTCCACTCCAGTTGGAGGTAGAGTGAAATCCTGATTTTTGTTTTGTTTTTTTAAGTCACACACACAAAGATATTCAAATAAATAGCATGCTCCCACACCCCGCGCCCTTTTGTTCTGGTGTCTCTGTGTAGCCTTGGTTGTCCTGGGCTCATAATCCATATTCTTAACAGAAAACAAAGGGTCTGCGTGTGGTGGGTGGCACACGCTGGTAATCCCAGCGCTTGCTAGGGAGAGGCAAGGGATCAGAAACCTGGGGTCATCCTTAGCTACACAGTCAGTCTGGGGTTAGCTTGGGGAGCATAAGACAAATAAAGAAAAGGAGGAACGGAGGGAGGGAAAGTACTATATTGTTTTTGCAAACCAATTGATAAAAATCTCCACAAAACTGTCGAGAGTCCCTAAAGAATTAGCGTATCTGGCTGTATGGGAAAGCCTCTGCTCTGACTTCCGATTCCCGGGGCATTCTCGTGCAGGGCTGGCCTCTAAAGCTCACCGTCCGACACTGGCAAGCACAGGCTCACCCAGAGAAATTCCCAGGGCCAGCCTGAGGCGGACGCATGCGCTCTTACACTCTCCGCGCAAGGCGGGGCGTGGGGATTGACTGGGCGCTCCGCCTATCGGGCCCAGTTCCGCCTCCCTCCCGCATCCGGCGCAGACGCCATGGTACGGTTCAAACACAGGTAAGCGGCATTCTTCCCGCACCCCCGTGGCGGCGGCGTGCCTGGGCCGCGCTCACCTCTCCGTCCCCCGCAGGTACCTTCTGTGCGAGCTGGTGTCAGAGGACGCGCGCTGCCGCCTAAGCCTGGACGACCGCGTACTGGGCGGCCTCGTCCGCGACACGATCGCCCGGGTGCACGGGACTTTCGGCGCCGCCGCCTGCTCGGTGGGCTTTGCAGGTACGGGGGCGCCGCGCCGGAGCGCACGGCGCTGTTGGCACGATACTGGAGGATTCTAGAAAGGCCTAGGAATCGCACAGCATCACAAGGCGGAAGGTTCAATATCCAGCACCGTGTGTGTGTGTGTGTGTGTTGGGGGTGGAGGGTATTCCGTTTAAGTTACTAGGCTAGGTGAAATTAGCCGTGCAGAATTCCTTGTAAGAGCTATGACTTGACAGGTCACGTTAGCACGTTTTAAAATGTCATATTTATCCCTTAAAGTTTAAAAGCGTCTCTGACGGACGAGTGTTCAGGAATCCTCATGTGGAAAAGCGAGATAAGCTCGAAAGCCTTCTTTTTCTCCGAATGCTACAATAACCCCTTTTATCATAAGCTTAAACGTGAATTCTGCAGAATTAAACACGCGTAAACAAAGCTTTCTTGCTTTGGGTGAGACTATGTTAAAGAGGGACCTACAGAACTCGGTTGTAATGACACCAGTTTTCCCAGCAAGTTTTTTTTTCTCCCCGGCTACTTTACTAATGGTGGAGCTTTTCTCTCTCCATTTATTGATCTGAGTGGATAGTGGAAGGGTTATCCTAAAATTTAATTTCAAGCTGGGCATCGTGGCAGAAAGGTTCTAGTCTAGCCAGGATGACATGACTGGACTATCTGAAAGGAAAAACAAAACCTTTCAACAATTTTTTTTAGCGAGACTGGTGGGACAGCAGTTAAGAGCATTTGTGGCTTTTTCAGAGGACCAGAGTTCCATTCCAAAGCACCACATGGCAACTATTTAATGCCGGTCCCAGAGGTTGACACCCAGCCCACATGTGCATATACATACGTGCAAGCAAAACATCACAAATCTACGAAGTGATGTGTCCACCCAGACATTTGTCTGGAACAGTCACTGGTACATGCTGGGGTTTCCTGTTTAATTCTGTTAATGGGAAGTTCTCCAGTTTTCCCTTCCTACTGTAGTTCGATACCTCAATGCCTACACTGGAGTAGTGCTACTGCGATGCCGAAAGGATTTCTACCAGCTTGTGTGGTCAGCTCTCCCTTTCATCACGCATCTGGAGAACAAAGGACACCGGTATCCATGTTTTCTCAACACGTTACATGTGGGAGGTAAGAGTGGAGGTAGCTCGTGTATCGTGGCTGTTTTCATGAAGTACGGGGTTTGGAGCGCAGTCCTGGCAGGCGGGTGGGTCTTCCTCTGTCCCACTAAGAACAAGATGTTCCTCTCACCAACTCACCCCGTCCCTGAAAGACAGTGTCTGTCTCACAAAGCTGTTATCCACAAAAGCTCTCTCATGCTCCAGGTACAATTAGAACCTGTCAGAAATTCCTGATTCAGTACAACCGGAGACAGCTGTTGATCCTGTTGCAGAATTGCACTGATGAAGGTAGGCCAACAGGCCAGGGCATGCAGTGCCTGAGGCTCAGTGGTTAAGATGATGCCCAAGGATATCTTCCGTCCCTCTAGGGGAGCGGGAAGCCATTAGGAAGTCTGTTTCAAGAAGCTGTCTACTGGAGAAAGAATCTGCTGAAGAGCTTTCAGACAGTGCTGGTGAGGAGGCTGTGGAAGCAATGGAATGACCCTGTTTCCAGGCCCATTTGTGTGAGTTGTCAGCACCCCACAGTTCTCCAAACTAACTACCAGCCAGAGCACGGGGGACCTTCGTGAAAAGGAGGGCTTGCTGCCTTTACCATCTGTGCTCCTGGAGCCCTGTACAGAAGTTTTGTATGTAGCAACTTGAGTTGAGTGGATGGAATAAACATAGTCTTTCTTGGCTTCCAGGGCAACATTTTGTAAACCACAAAAAGTTCATGCTTGGCCATTTCCCTGTCCTCTATCACACTGGCCTTGGAATGAAGCTCCTTGTGTGGTACTAATGGATTTTAAATACTCCTAGACCCTTAATATAAGAACTCATGCAAGCCGGGCGTTGGTGGCGCACACCTTTAATCCCAGCACTCGGGAGGCAGAGGCAGGTGGATCTCTGTAAGTTCGAGACCAGCCTGGACTACCAAGGGAGTTCCAGGACAGCCTCCAAAGCCACAGAGAAACCCTGTCTCGAAAAAACAAAAAAAAACCTCATGCAAACCTGGACATGGTGGTGCACTCCTTGAATCCCAGCAGGAGGAGGCCGAGGCAGGCAGATCTGTTTGAGGCCAGCCTGGTCTACAGAGTGAGTTCCAGAACAGCCAGGGTTACACACAGAGAAAATGTTGGGGTGGACTCATGTAAGGCAGAAATAACGAATAATCAACTACACTTTCATAATCTAGGTCATTTCAGTACTAGGACTACAAACGCTGGGAAACCTACCTGACTATTGCTCAAGTGACTTGATAGGAAATGCTGCTTTCAGCTGGCCTCAACCAGGCAGGAATGTAATCCCAGCACGTGGGAGATTTTCAGAAGGAGATGGTGTGACTGTTTGGGAATGCCTGGGAGGTGGGACCTTGTTGGAGGAGCTGTCATGGGGTATAACGATATTCGATACTATATAGGGAAAAACAATATATTTATTTATCAGGGAGAGAGAGAGAGACCACTGACCAGGAGTCAGAAGCGTGGCTGGCTTCCAGGAGCAAAAGGGAAGCCCCTTTTCCTTTCACTTCCTTTTTTCTCTACCTTGACCCCGCCCTATTGGGCGGGTAGCTTTGTGGCATTCACTCCTACAATGGGGTATGTTTCAAAAGCCTACACCATTCCCAATTAGGTCTCCACCTCCTACTTCTATAGCAGCATGCCGCTTCCCAGGATGGTTATGGATTCGCCCTTTATGTTGGCTTGAATAGGCATGGCCCCCATAAACTCAGGTGTTTGAACTCTTGGCCCATTGGGAGTGGCACCATAGGCAGGAAGTGTGTCACTTTGAGATCTCTCAGCCCTTCTCCAGAACCAAGGTCTGCCAGCATGTTGCCATGCTTCAAGATAAATGTGATGTATTATTTATGATTTAATGAAGATTGCCTGAAATATCAAAAGCAAAGCCAAACACACTAGTTAGCTGTAGAAGCTAGGCCCAGTGGTGGCACACACCTTTAATCCCAGGATTCAGGACACAAAGGCAGACACTCTCTTGAGTTCAATGCCACCCTGGAGTAACAGCTAACAGCTCACGCCTTTGATCCCAGCACTTGAGAGGTAAAGACAGGAGGATATGGCTGGGCAGAGAAAGGAGATAGGACCAGAGAGCTTTTGCATCAGGATTTGTGGAGATAGAATTGCCATTTCAGCTTGGTTGAGTTGAGAGCTACTGGCTTGGCTGATCTTCAGCTGAAACCCCAATATCAGTCTTTGGGTCTTTTTTTGTTTTTGTTTTTTTTGAGACAGGGTTTTTTTGTATTGTTTGAGGCTGGCCTCGAACTCAGATCTGCCTGCCTCTGCCTTCTGAGTGCTGGGATTAAAGGCAGCCGGATAGGTCTTTTATTTTTTGTGTTACAGATAAATAATGGACTAGACCTCTGACACTAAACCAGAACCAATTAAATGTTTTCCTTTATAAGAACTGCCATTGTCATGGTGTCTCTCCACAGCAATAAAAGTTACTCTTTATGCCTCCATTAAACCACTGTCACTTGCCGGGCGGTGGTGGCGCACGCCTTTAATCCCAGCACTCGGGAGGCAGAGGCAGGCGGAATCTCTGTGAGTTCGAGGCCAGGCTGGACCGACAGCCTCAAAAACAATACAGAGAAACCCTGTCTTGTAAAAACAAAAACAAAACCATTGTCACTTAAAAGAAGCTTGGGGTCAAGAGCTGAAGTGATGGCTCAGAGGTTGTGAGCACTGACTGTACTTCCAGAGGACCTGGGTTCAATTCCCAGAACGTATATTGGCTCATAAACAATATAGACATACATGCCTGCAGGCAAAATAATAGCTTTCTTGGTAAAGGTTATAAGCTCAGCAGGCAAAACCCTCCCTCACTTAAAAGTTACCCTGGGGCTGCTGCCAGCTGAGATCTGGCCACAGCAGCCACTTACCACAAGAAAAACTTCCAGTTCCTCTGGCTGGCTTTTTTCTACTGTAGCCACCTAACCTTGAGCTCACAGTGGTTCCCTACGTCTAGGTTTAAACTGGATGTCTTGACTCTGCTTACCCCTAGTCCTCTGAATCTTTGACAAGAACACATACGAGTCTACTATTTTAACTAACTACAGATTTCAGGAAGCCCACACAGTGATGCTGTACCCTTGGTTTGGGCTGCTCCAAAGAACACTGAAGAGACCACTCAAACTCACTTTGGGTTGAGATCACTAATACCTGAATCTAAAAGATTAACGTAGGGCTGGAGAGATGGCTCAGTGGTTTGGAGCACGGACTGCTCTTCCAGAGGTCCTGAGTTCAATTCCCAGCAACCACATGGTAGCTCACAAGTATCTCCAGTGGGATCTGGTGCCCTCTTCTGGCATAAAGTACATGCAGATAGAACACCCATAGACATAAAATAATTAAGAAAAAAAAAAAAAGACTACCTACAGATGAACTAATTAAGCTTGGCAGGAAGGCATCTCTTGTGAGTGTCAATACTTTATTTTGGTGTAAAGACGGGAAGCTGGAAAATACACTGTATTTAAAATTTTCTTGGTTCCCCCTCACATTGTGGAAACCCCCTCCCCCCCGCCCCAAGCTAATCAATCTGTTCAAACTCAAATACTTAAAATTACAGCAGCAAAACAAAAGCACAGAAAATAAACCAGATGGAGAAGGTGCCTGGGTGAGCGAGTAGTGTCACTTGGTGTGGACGACTGAGGTGCTGAACAGGAGCTTCTGTTTCTGCTTCTTCCGTTTCTTTCCTCCTCTGTCTTCTGAAGGAAACAGGAAGTCTTAGCACTCTCTCTCATGTACACACACCCCACTTCACGCACAGCTGAGTGCCGGCTTTGGAATTTCACTGCCACCCCATTCCTGCACAGATGTCTCAGGCACTCAAGTTAACACTGGCCATCCCTCACCTTCAACCAACTCAAACTTCTCTCAAGTGTAGGCTGGACAGATGGCCCAGTGCCTAGGAGCACTTGTTGCTCTTATAGAAGACAGGAGACCCAGAGCCTCAGTCATTACTACTGCCACCAATACGACAGGAACAGTGGCATATGTGGCTAAGCCTGCGCCTAGTGCTGAGTGAGTTCCCTGCTCTTACCAGAGAGGGCATCTGAAGTAGCTGGTGTGTCCAATTTCATGAAGGCTGCTTCAATAGCTTGGCTAAAGGAATTCTGGAAACTGGGCACAGGAACACGGTCAGAGTTATCACTCTCCCCATCGCTGTCCACAGGGACTGGAGGAACCAAACTATTCTCATCTAAAAACAAAAGCGAAAGTCTAGAACTGTTGCTGAAAGGGGCTGCTCCTGACTCGCCTTTTCCTGCCCGGCTCTCACCTTTCTTTGGAGCAGTTTTGGGCCACACGTCTGCTTTTGCTTTCCCGACCCTCAGCATCTGTCAAGTGGGACAGAAGGAAGATATAAACTTCTGACCAGTGTCCTTTCCCAGCACTGATCTCCCTCAGACTGTCAGCCCCTCTCTCCACAGTGTCCCAAGGCACAGCCCCAAGGGACTTCACTCCTTAGGAACAGGTGAGGGATACATGAGGTTCTCAGTCTTAATTAAGAATGTTTTCCCTCCCTAAATACACCTGAGTTGGTGTGGTTTATGCCTACAACCCAGTATTTGGATGGCGGAAGCAGGAGGATCACCTACAATTCAAAACCAGCTAGGACTATGAGGTTTCAGGCTAGAATGGAGCATAGAGACCCCATCTCAAAAAACAAAACTTTAAAGTAGCATATATGGTATCTTCCAAATGCTTTTTCTTTTTTTGGAGGGGGTGGGAACCAGGTGTCCCTACATAGCCCTGGTTGTCCTGTCCTGGAACTCACTGTGTAGACCAGGCTGTCCTCAAACTCACAGAAATCTGCCTGCCTCTGCTGAGATTAAAGGCATTTGCTACCACATCTAGTCTACCTTCCAATTTAAAGCCGCCATATGGATAACTGCGCCTCCCTCCCACTCTCTAACAGCCCAGCGGTGCTTTTTACCTTTTGTTACCTTCAAATACCTCCTCAATTATCACTGTTTAGATGAGGTCATAGACGAGTTACTTCCTGTAAATGTCCCTCTGCCCTTAAGGAACTGAACTGTCTTCATCTAGACCAGTGAGTCTTAACTTTCCTAACGCTGTGACCCTTTCACACAGTTCCCTCATGCTGTGGTGACCCCCAACCATAGCATTATTTTTGTTGCTACTTTACAACTAATTTTACTACTGTTGTGAATTGTAAATATCTGATCTGTAACCCCCAGGTGGAGAACTCATCTAGCCTAAAGAGCTATTAAAGATTCTAAGCCCTGGCTTCCTGTATGGGCGCCTGTGAAGCAGTTGCCCCACCGGTCTCAAGTATCTAAAGATAGACCAAGGGTTTGCCTATTGTCTTCTCTACCTGACCACAAGAACATGGCTGTGGCTAATTACAGGGTAACCAGGATGACCTTTCCCTGGCAAGATGTAGAGGATTTATTCTACATTATATAAATACTACTTACACCCAGAGAACCAGTTGAAATTAAAGTGATGCAGCCCCTCACCTAGGACACTGTCCACTGTCTAAGAATTTAATGATCCTAACCTTGGATTCTCAACATCGACTGTGAACTTTGCTCTTGAGGAAGTCCCCCATCATTATCTGATGAGCAATCCAACTGGTTGTTGGCTGCCCTCTCCAGGCATCTGCCTTCAGTTACTCCTTGGTGCCTAAAGTTTCATGAGGCAGCAATCCCTGGATG